GAGCGACCCAGGCCCTGGGTGGCTGTGGGGCAGGGCAGGCGGGAGGCTGTCAGCCTCCAGCCTCACCCCAGGGCCGTGCAGGGTGGTCAGACCCCCAGGGCGCCTGGTGTGCCCAGCCCAGGGCCGGGAGGCAGGGTGGGCTGGAGTTGGGGGGAGGCCCTGGGGCCCCAGGCAGACCCTACCCAGGTGCCCACGTGCAGCGCTCCCTCCGCCTCTTGCTTGCTACCCCAGCCCCGGGCTGCCCCCGCCTCCCCCGCCCAGGCCCATGACCCTCGGGGTCCATGTGGACCAGCCAGGATCACCCCCACTGCCCTGGGGCTCTCTGTGACCTCTGCTGCCTCTGACCTCCGAGACGTTGCATGTGGTTCCCTTAGACAAGCTCCCCCTCCGCCAGGCCCAGGAGGGGCCCCGGCCCAACTAGGCAGGAGGGGCTGAAGGGGGGCTGAGCTGTTTCCTGGGGGTGCTGACCCCAGCCCGACACAGCAGTGGCCCCTGAAGAGGCGCCAGCTTCTGCCTGCCTGCCGCACCCCTCCTTCGGGCTCCACTGACCCTCTCACACCCACCCTTTGCCCTGCACCCCTGCAGCCAGGCGCAGGTGCACGGATGCTAGAGCAGAGGCTGGGGCGTCAGGCACCACCCACGAGCTGCCAGCGCCGGGCCTGCTGGCTCCAGGATGATGCCTGGGCATCTTCGACTTGGCTGGTGACAGCGTCGTGGGGGCAGCACAGAGGCCACTGAGGGACAGGACACCAGGGGAGCTGCCAGGGAGATTAGGGCTTTCCTGCCCCCCACTACCCTCCAAAGCAGTGGGGCTCAAATAATACTGCCTCCGCCCCCGCTGCAGGCTCAGCACGGCCAGGCTAGCCATGATTGGCCAAGCCATCCCAGCGGGGCTCATGCTGGAACTCTGCTGCATTCCCCTCTCCCTTCTGGGGAGAAATGAAGGACAGGACAGCAACCTGGAGCTGCAGCAAAGAGATCAGGGGGACCGTCCTTGCTGGGAACGAAGTGGACACAGGGAAAAAGCAGATGGAATGAAGCTCCTGGATGCAGCCGTGCCTGAAGCCCCACCCTGACCGTTCACCCAGAGGCACAACGGCCTCGCCCCTCCCCTTCTGAGGTGGCCTTGTCACTGGCGGTCAAACCACAGCAACTCTCCCCATTCTCCTGCCCACCACCTGGGCCTGCCCGTCCAGCCTGGCCCTGCAGGTGCATCAGTGGCCTCAGGAGCCCTCATCACTCCCGGCCCTGAGCACGGCAGGGCTAACCCGGAGCTGGCTCAGAATGTCACCAGGAAGAAAGACGAGGAACAAAAAAAGAAAGATCTGCATTTTCATATTCAAATGAGTTCTTGCAGGAAGAGAGAAAGCAAGAGCAGATTCTGGGGGGTGACGGTGACAGCCGGACCTCCCGCCCTGTGTGTGCCCTGACGCCACCCTGGGGCCACCGCACCCCCAACCCCCGCTCTCCTCGGTGGACCCGGCCGCGCAGGGGCCGGCCCTGGGGCAGCCGGGTGCGGGCAGCAGCCCGGGGGAGCATCCGGTGGTCCGGTGCCCCTGACGCCCAGGGCCCGGTCGCGGAGCCCCTGCTCAGGATTCCAGCCGGGCCTGGGCAGGCTCGACCTCCTAGAGCCCAGGCGGCAACTCGGTCTCAAGGAGCTCCTGTGGGGAAACTGCGCCCCAGCCCGTGCTGCCTCCGAGAGAGCCGGGGAGCCGTCCCACCCCAGGGCTGGCTTCCCCAGTCTGGGCGCAAGGCCAGTGAACCCCTGAGGCAGGTGCGGCCACCACTGGCCACCAGGGGCAGTCTGTCCCCCATGAGGCGGCTGCCATCTTGGGCCCAGGCTCCGTCTGCTCTGTCCAGTCCCCCAGAGAGGCCGGCAGGTGGGGCCCCTGCTCCTGGCCTGACGGCACCCAGTGCTGTCAGGTCAGTTCTGGGGTGGCCCCCCGCCCAGTGGGGCCCTCTGGTGGGCTTTCCATGTGACACAGAAACCTCCAAGCTGGCGCCACGGTTGCATGTCCCCCAACAGGCTCCGGACAGGTCCCCCTTCCCGGCCCTGGGCACCAGCCACTGCCCCCAAAGCTGCAGGCCTTCTGGCCTAGGCCACCGTCCTGCCCAGCTGGAGCAGAGGCCCAGGTTCCGAGCTCTGCCCAAGGTGTGCCCCCCCACCCAGGCCGCCGGCGGGACCCGGTCCCACTGGACACTGCCCCAGAGGCCGGCCACGGGCCGCCACTCACGTCCCCATGGGGCTCCCACAGGCCCGCTCTCCCGCAGGCGGCCGGCGTCACACCGCTGTCCAGTAGACCCTCGATAAATTGTGCTGATGGTCGGTCCTTGGCGGCCAAGCTGTTCCCTGCGTGGAGCCCCGGGGCGGGTGTGGCTGGCCCGGCATCTGCGCGTGGCGTCCTCACTGACTGGGCAGTCCACACGCCCGCTCCTTCAGCAAAGAGAAAACCTGGGCTCAGGCCCCTCTCCAGGACAGGGGCAGGCCGAGAGGAGGGGCCCGCCCTCGCGCCCACTCTCAGCCAGGCCCCGGGGCCCGCACACCCAGAGGTCTGAGGCCGGGAGCAAGATGCAGCCTCATGGGCCGCTCGCACACCCCAGCCTGCCCGACTGCACCGGAGGAAGCCCGAGGAGGAGCAGGCTCCTGCCCAGCTGTGGCCAGGCCCCAGGGTGGCCTGTCTGCCGCCTCGGGGCCGGGGCGGCGTGGCCACTGTGTGGCCTGGGGGCTTCTCTGCTCTGCACAGTGGCCGCTGGCTGCCGACCTGCCCAGGGAGGGGTGCGACGCAGCCTGCACAAGTTGACTGGGGCTCCGGCCACCACTGCGGTCACCCTGCAGCCAACCCAGTTCCCTGCCCTGGGCCTGCCCATACAGGGGGAGGTCTCTGAGCTCTACAGAGGGATTTGGCAACCCCCCAAATCACATAGTGGGCCCCCTGTGCCTGGTTGAAGTGAGTGCCTTGGTCTCACCCAAGTACTGGGGAGCGAGACCCACCAGAGAAAGCTCCAGAACCCTGGCAGCCATGAGGAGACCCATACTTTGCTGAGCCTTCAGAGGCGCGTCCTCCACACAGAGGCCCGCCCAGCCCTCCCCGGACAGCCCACCGTGCCTGCCCACCACGGGGACGCTGGGTGGGTCTGGGGCTCCCAACTGGCCAGGGACCCCAGACCCCCTCCTGGCCCCATCCCAGCCCACGCAGCCCTGCCCGGCTGCCCGCTCAGGCCGCTGGAGGAGGGACTGCTGGCTGAGCCTGGGCCGTGAGTCCTGGCCTGGCACCGAAGGCCAGGGGGTCACGTGCCCGCAGCCTCCAGGACCTAGGCTGGCTTTGCCCTCCGCCAGGTGCTTGACCCTGGGTGTCTGCCAGCCTGGCACTCTGCGGGCGGCAAGGAGAGGCAGGGAGAGCCCCAGAGGAGCGGGGGCTGGCGGAGGGAGGCGCTGGCCGGGCACCCTGGGAGGGCTTTCGGAGGGGGACTCGCCCGCCCCTGCCCCTCCCCCGGCAGGCCCAGCGTCCCGGGAGCAATGCGTGGCTGGGTGGGGGTCCGGGGGCTCCTCCCTGCCCCAGCCCTGAGGAGGGGGGGCAGCCCAGCAGCCCCCTGCAAAGTTTCTGAAGCAGCTGGGTCAGGAGGAGGGGAGAGTTCCCACATGACCGGACGCTGCTGAAGCCGGGGTGCCTGCCAGCCCAGCGTCTGGGGTCCCTCTGCAGCCCCTCCCTGCAGCGCCCCCCCCGCCCCCCCCCCGCAGACACCCCCAGGGCGGCCTCCCGAGGCTTCCGCGGATGCGCCCGGCAGCACGAGCCGCCTCCCCCCGCCGGTCCCCGCGCTGTCTGCTGCGTCTCGGCCGGCGGGGCGCGGGGCCCGGGGCCGCGGTCTCGTGCGGGCGCGTCTGTCCGTCTCGCCGCGTCTGCGGAGGCGTCCTTGACCCGCCTGCGCGAGCGTGTCTGGGGGGCGGTGCTCCCCCCTCCCCGCGGGCGCGCTCGCGGCCGCCACCGCCCCGCTGCGCCCCGGCCCGTGGCCTCGTGCGCCCCCAGCCTGACCCCGGCCCGGGGCTCCCCGGCCGGCCCGCCGCTCCCCTGCGCCCCGGGCTGCCCAGAGCGGAGCCGCGGCGCGCTCCCCGCCGCCGGCCCGGCGCCCCAGCTCCCTTATGTAACTCCGCGCTGTCCGCGCCCGGTCACCGGCCCTGCGCCGGCCCGGCCCGGCCCGGCCCGACCCGCGGGGCGCGGAGCCCAGGCCCGCTCACATCGGGGCGCGGACCCCGCGGCGCCCTCGCCGAGGCCCGGCCCCCCTCCCGCCGGCACCCGCGCCCCCCGCTCCCGGCGCGCGCCAGGGGAGGGTCCCGCGGGCGAGTTCGCGGCCGGGCGCGGGCGCCCCCCGCCCCGCAGCCTCCCCGCGGCGGCGGCCCCGAGGGCGGCCGGGGTCCTGCGCGGGGCCCGCGGCCGGCCGGGGCGGGGCGCGGCCGGGGCGGGGGGGGGGCCGGGCCGGGGCGCCCTCCGCCGCCGCCGCGACCCCCGCCCGCCGGGCCCGGGGGTGCCCCGGGGCGCCCCGGCCCCGGCCGGCGGGCACGCGGCGCTGTCCGTGGTGCTGCCGGCGCCGGGCGGGGCGGGGGCGGGGCGGGGGCGGGGCGAGGGCGGCAGCCAATGGCGGGGGCGCCGCGCGGGGCGGGGGGCGGCGGGCCGGGCGCGGGGCGCACTCGGCTGCGCTGCCTCGGCGCCCGCGGACGCTCCGGCGGCGGCTCCGGCTCCGGCTCCGGCTCCGGCTCGGACCCCGCTCCGGCCCCGCTCGGGCGCCGCGGTCGCGCCGCCGGCCCCGCTCGCGCGGACCCGGCCCGGAGCCCCCCGGCGCCCCCCGCCCGCCGCCCCGCGCCGCGGACCATGCGCCGGGCGCCCCGCGGGGAGCCCGGCCGGCTCGAGCGCCCGCGAGGACCAGGCTGCCCCCGGGCCGGGGCCGCCCCCGGCCGCCCGGCCCGCGGTCTGCGCCCCGCGCCGCGCCCCGGCGCCGCGTGAGCCGCCATGGAGCGCGCGCCGCCCGACGGGCCGCTGAACGCGTCGGGGGCGCTGGCCGGAGAGGCGGCGGCGGCGGGCGGGGCGCGCGGCTTCTCGGCCGCCTGGACCGCGGTGCTGGCCGCGCTCATGGCGCTGCTCATCGTGGCCACGGTGCTGGGCAACGCGCTGGTCATGCTCGCCTTCGTGGCCGACTCGAGCCTGCGGACCCAGAACAACTTCTTCCTGCTCAACCTCGCCATCTCCGACTTCCTCGTGGGTAAAGCCCCCGGCCCCGGCCCGCGCGCCCTGCCCCGCCCGCCCCGCGCGCCCTGCCCTGCCCTGCCCGGGACCGGCGCGCCGCCGCCCGCGCCCCCTCCCGGCCCTGCCCTCCCGGGTCCGGCCGCGCCGGGACCCGCGGCTCTGGGCGGGGCGCGGGCCGGGGGCTGCGGAGGGGCGTCCCGGGCGCGGCGGCGCGGGATGGGGCGCGGGAGGCTGGGGCGCAGCTGCCGCCCCGCGCTGGCCCCTGCGCTGGAGCCAAACAAAGGCGCGGAGGGCTCCGGACGCGAGGGCGCTGGGGGGGCCGGGGGGCCGGGGGCGCGCGCGGGGGTCCGGAGCCGCGGCGGGGGAGGGGCCGCGGGGAGCGAGGCGCGGCGGGGCGGCGGGGAGCAGCGCGCTCTCACGTGTCCGCGCGCGGCTGCCGCGGGGGGCGGGGCGCGCAGGGGCCGAGCCGAGCGCCAGACACCTGTTGGGGCTGGAGGAGGCGCGTCCGCCGGACGCGCGGGGCGGGCTGCGCGTGGGGGCGGCGGGGGGCGGCAGCCCGGGCGCTCCGGGGTCTCTGAACCCCCGCGGGAGGCCGTCTAAAGACAAGGGGGGGCTGGGGCTCCGCTGGGATGGGCAGAGGGAGAAAATTCTTCCTCCGTCTGGGGACTGGCAGGGCTGCACAGAAGCCTAGGAAGTGCCCATCAATGCTTGGGGACACCCGGGGCCCAGAGTCCCGCGGGTGCACATTCCCTCCTGCTCCCCAGCCCAGGGGTGCCGGTGGCACTGGGGGCTGGAGGTGGGCAGCCGCTGAAGGCCAGTTTCAGAGCAGAGGGTGTGCCTGGGAGGAGGTGGGGGCGGCTGGTCCCAGCGAGGCAGCCACGGTGTCAGGGCGGGCCTGTGGCCAGGTGCCTGTCCAGCCGTGGCCACCATGGCCCTGCTCCCACAGGGGCCTTCTGCATCCCACTGTACGTGCCCTACGTGCTCACCGGCCGCTGGCCCTTCGGCCGGGGCCTCTGCAAGCTGTGGCTGGTGGTGGACTATCTCCTCTGCACCTCCTCGGTCTTCAACATCGTGCTCATCAGCTACGACCGCTTCCTGTCGGTCACCCGAGCCGTGAGTCCGGACGGAGGGCGTCCAGCAGGGCGGCGGGGTGGTTCAGTCCTGCTGGCCTCACATCTGGCCCACACCCGCTTCCAGGCAGCCACCCCCTCGCCAGCCATCCGGGTGGCGGATGGTCCCGGGGCTGCCGGGGGCAGTCTGGCCCTGGCGTGGGCAGTCATGCGGGCCCCACCCTGAGGCGGGTCGGAGCCTCCGAGGCTGTGGAAGGCTCCAGGGCAGAGGCCCTCAGCGGTACCCTTCATGTGCGTGCGCGCGCCTCAGAGACAGGCCTCAGCTCCCGGCTCCTCGACTCCCCTGTGAGCAGCCCCTGAGCCCCGGCCACCAGGCATCCTGCGTGGCCCTCCCCCTCCTTGAAGGCTTCCCCTGCACCCCAGGGCCCTCTGCTGGGGCCCCTGCGTGGGACTCAGGGTCGGATGCCCCTTGGCCACGCAGCGTTCCCCCAGCAGCCGACCTGCAGGTCACTCCCGGCCCCTGAGCCTTTGGAAAGGTGTGGGCCGGGCCGGGCCGGGCCCTGGCGAAAATAACGCGAGATGATTTCAAGAGCCGCCGAGCACAGGGCCCGGCACGCGGGCAGAGCCCCTGCACCAGGGACGATGACAGTCTGTCCTGGGCCAGCTGACTGCGGGGGAGGGCAGCGGGGGGGGCAGGGCAGCGTGGCAGGGGACGGTCCAGGGCGCCGGGGAGCCCTGGGCCCCGCGGCTGCCGGCGGCCCGGCCCGGCCCGCTCCCCGCCGACGCGGCTCCTCTGCGCAGGTCTCCTACCGGGCCCAGCAGGGCGACACGCGGCGGGCGGTGCAGAAGATGGTGCTGGTGTGGGTGCTGGCCTTCCTGCTGTACGGGCCGGCCATCCTGAGCTGGGAGTACCTGTCTGGCCGCAGCTCCATCCCCGAGGGCCACTGCTATGCCGAGTTCTTCTACAACTGGTACTTCCTCATCACGGCGTCCACGCTCGAGTTCTTCACGCCCTTCCTCAGCGTCACCTTCTTCAACCTCAGCATCTACCTGAACATCCAGCGGCGCACCCGTGTGCGGCTGGACGGGGCGCGCGAGGCGGCCGGCCCGGAGCCCCTGCCTGAGGCCCAGGCGCCCCCCTCGCCCGCCGCACCCGCCGCGCCCGGCTGCTGGGGCTGCTGGCGGAAGGGGTGCGGGGAGGCGGTGCCGCTGCACAGGTACGGGGCTGGGGGCGGCGCGGCGGCCGAGGAGGCCGGGGAGGCGGCGCCCGGCGCAGCGGCCTCACCCCCCTCCAGCTCGGGCAGCTCCTCCCGGGGCACGGAGCGGCCGCGCTCCCTCAAGCGGGGCTCCAAGCCCTCGGCGTCGTCGGGGTCGCTGGAGAAGCGCATGAGGATGGTGTCGCAGAGCATCACGCAGCGCTTCCGGCTGTCGCGGGACAAGAAGGTGGCCAAGTCGCTGGCCGTCATCGTCAGCATCTTCGGGCTGTGCTGGGCCCCCTACACGCTCCTGATGATCATCCGCGCCGCCTGCCACGGCCACTGCGTCCCCGACTACTGGTACGAGACGTCCTTCTGGCTGCTGTGGGCCAACTCGGCCGTCAACCCCGTGCTCTACCCGCTGTGCCACCACAGCTTCCGCCGCGCCTTCGCCAAGCTGCTGTGCCCCCAGAAGCTCAAGGTCCAGCCCCACGGCTCGCTGGAGCACTGCTGGAAGTGAGCCGCCCTGCCCGCGGCAGCCTCCCCGGGCCACAAGCTGCCGAGGGGGGCAGGCGGGAGGACACGGGGCCTGCCCCGCCCCCGGTGCCCGCAGGAGACGGCCAGGCCGGCACCCGCCCAGCCCCCCGACGCGCGGCTCTTCCCCAGGCCAGTGCTCGCTTGTCCCTGCCCGCGGCGCCCCGCGCCCGCCCTCCCAGCCAGCCCGAGCCCCCCTCTGCCGCCGCCCAGCTCTTTACCCTCTGACTCTCTGTCCCCCAAAGTGCCACGTGCCCCCAGGAACCTCGAGGCCCTGCCCCGCTTTTCCATTCCGGGCGTCTCGGGGAGACACGAGGAAGAAAACACGGCCGTGAACTTGACGTTCCTGGCGAGTGATCGGGAGACGGAGCTGCGGCGGCGCGGGCGGGCCAGGCGGGCCGGGCAGGTGCGGGCGCCCTCGCCCCCCTCCTCCTCCTGCTCCTGCTCCTCCTCCTGCGCCGCCGCGCGGCTGCTTCTGCCCCCGCCCCCCGCCCTGGCCCCGGGTGGCCGGACCCTGCTCTGCCCGGAGCAGGGACCCCAGCTCCTGGGCCGCCCGCCGCGGGCCGCTGTTCCCCGAGTCCCAAGGTGGGGCCCGGAGCGGGGCTCCCCTTCCCCTGCCCTGGCCCCCCGCGGGGCTCTGCATGCCCCGCCCTCGGCCGAGTCGCAGTAAAGCGTATTTTTCTATTGGTGCTGATTCCTGAGGATTCAGTGGGGTGCAGGCCTAACGCCCGAGCGCAGTGAGGGCCCCGGGGTGCACGACACCGCCAGGCCGGCCGCCCAGCAGCCCCAGCCCCGCAGCCTCCCTACGCGGGGAGGGCGCCCGGCGCAAGGGCTCGTTCCAACCCCGGGCGGCCGCCTGTGCCCCCTACCCCGCTCCCCCCCGCCGCCCTTCCGTGTGCAAAGGGGAGGGGATGAGGGTGTCGGGTGGTGCGGGGGCAGGACCCTGGCCCTCAGCCAGGCCGGGTCCATGCAGGAGCGACCACCCCACCTCAGGGAGCCCCGTGGGCGGCCCCTGCCCCCTCCCCGGGGAAGCCTCCCCTCCCGCCCAGCCACCGCGGCCCCGCCTGGCCCCGCCAGCTCCCTGGGTGGGGGTCCCCCGACGCTCACCCCTGCAGAGGGGACAGTGTGCGCAGCCTCACGCCAGGGTCTCCCCATCCCCCCAGACGGCCCCCGCCGCGTTGCGCTGCCAGGCCCGGCACTGGAAGGGGCCAGACGGGTGCTCCGAGAGGACCAGCGCGGGGAGGGCCTGGGCAGGGGCGGGAGCAGGGCCCCGGGGCTCCAGGGGGCCCTCCCCACCCCGGAGGCTGCCCGCGGCGTCTGACCCGGCAGCCAGGAGCCGTCTGCGAGGACAAAGGACGCGGCCTCCGCGGCGGTGGGCGCCGAGCCACAGCGTGCGGGGGCCCTGGCTGCCCCTTCGCCCGGCCCTGCTAAATGGCTGCAAATTGGAGGATAAAAGCACAGGCTTTCAAGCAATTGTGCCTTCAATCTCTGGAAGCGCCGCTCCCCGCTCCCCGCTCGCGCAGGGACGGAGGAGAGGAAGGCGCCGAGTCAGCTGGGGCCCGGCCTGCAGCCACGACGCGGAGGAGAGACCTTGGCCGGGCCCCGCCGGCGCCCACGCATGCCAGGCGCGGCGCTGGGGGCCGGCTGCGGGTGAGCCCGACGCCATGGCGGAGGACACGGGGGCAGTAAGGGGACGTGGCCCGCAGGAAGCCAGGGGGTCGGGAGCCTGTGAGGGGCGACGTCTCATTCTCGCCCCCACACCCACTCCCTGAGCAGCGGCCAGAAGGAGGAGCGTGGAGGTGAAGGGGCAGGAGGCAGAGCCCCAGGGCAGGGTGGGGGCCGGGCAGGGGACCCGAGGCTGAGGGCCAAAGTAAGGAGCACAGCCTTGCTTCTGAGTGCAACGAGGCTTCTGGGGAGAGAGCCCTAGGCCTCTGCACAGGGTGCAGTCTGGGTGGCCTGCCTGTAGGTGGCGACCCAGCTGGGCTGTGCAGGCAGCTGGACCTAACAGTGGAGGCCTGGGGGTGCGGTGACTGGAGGGGCATGAGGCTGGGACAGAGGCTGCCTAAAGAACTGACAGTGCCAGAATGTGGGGTCTGCCTGGTACACATGGTAGCTGGGACCCCAGAGAGCCACGGTTGATCCTCGGCAGCTAGCGCCGAGGGACAGTCCTCAAGGAACAGGGGTGCAGGGCCAGCAGGGGCTGCCACTGGCTGTGTCTGGACACCTCGCACCCCAGTGCTGCTCCGGGAGTGTTCCTGGGGACAGGCTCTGGGGACATGCCGGGGGGGGGGTCTTTCCCGGCCTGATCAAAGACTCTAAGTCCTTAGGGTGACCAGTGGGCCACCCCCCCATCCTGCAGAAGACCGAGCTACTGGCCACCTCCGGGGGCCAGGACTGAGCAGGAGGACTTTGGAGCCATGAGACGAGGTGGCCGTGTGGTGCCCTCTTCCCACCTGACACGGGGCTGGGGCTGGGCCTGGCCGGGAGGCAGCACTTCTCACCAACCTCAGGGAGCACCTGTGGGTGCCCCATAGGGCAGATACCCCCACCCTGCAGCTTCGAGATGGCTGCGGAGGCTGGCAGGCTCCCCTACCGCCTGCCTTGGCCCAGAGCGGGCCCTCCAATGGCGTCCCCCGGGTGCCGCGGGGGCTACCCCCGTCGTCTGCAGGGTGGCGGGGCGCAGGAGAACCCGGCTGCCCTAGGGTGCTGTCAGGAGGGAAATCACCTTTGCTGTCAGGAATGCGGGGTGGGGGTGCGCTTAGAGGGACCTGGAGCCCAAAGCCCAGGTCAGGCGGGAAGTGGGAGGGGCCTGGGGACAGCCGGGGCCCAGGCTGGCCCGAGCAAGCGAGCGGGTGTCGCAGCCGAGGCCCGCGGCATCCTGAGCTGCCCCACGGCAACGGCACCGTCGCTGCGCCCCTGGCAGGTGGGCTGACCCCTGGCTGCCCGCCGGGTGCCGCAGCAGGTCCCCTGGGGGAGACCCTCGTCTCCCTTTCACCCGCTGGGAGCGAGCACAGGGTCTGGCGCGGCCGGGCTGGGGGGACGCCTGCAGAGCCGTGCGTCCTTTGTGACCTTGGGCTGGCCAACACCCCTGAGGCCCTCCCCAGGCCTGTGGTACCGCCGATGACCAGAGCGGGCTAGCCATGCGGGGCCTGGGTGTCCCGGCGGAGGGTCCGCTCGGGCAGAGGGCCAGGCTGAGCCCTGGCGGGGCGGGGTGGAGCCGGAGGCCGGCCTGGCTGTGTAGGACAGGCTGCGTGGCAGTAGGCACCAGGACGGAGGGGCTGGCCCAAGGCTGGAGGGGTGTCCAGTGCCTGAGGGCGGCAAGGGGTGAGGCACGGGCGGCAGCTCCCACCGGCTCTGCTCCAGGCCTGGCCCCAGTGCTTGTGGCTGAACTCAGGCGGCCTCACCCGGGCAGGCACCATCAGCCCCGCCTCCTGAGGCGGACGCAGGCAGAGGCTGTGGCACAAGCTCCCGCACTGCTCCCCGTCCACGCCGCTGCCCATGCTCTCAGCTCTCGGGGGCCACGGGCAGGGGCGTCACCAGGCTCAGAAACGCTGGCCTGCCCCTTCTCCCGACCCCAGCCACCCGCCTCCTCTTCTCTGGAGAACGACCCCTTTCACCCCTGAGGTCCAGCCCCGCCGGCTTCCAGGACAGCCGAGGCCCGGACAAGCTGGGCGGTCGGGGACACCATGCTCGGCTCCCAGAGGCAGGTGCCCTGACCAGCCAGGAGCAGCAGCCCGGGTCTTGGCTGGGACCCGGGAAGACGGCCCCCTACGACAGGACTCGTCTTCGGGAAGGTCACCCCCGCAGGGCGCGCGGGTGCAGCCTAAGCAGAGGAAAGCCAAGCCCAGCACTTCCTGGTGCTGCCGGGGCCTGGATCCAGCTTGACCTGACGCTGCACCCTGGACCTTTCTGCTCCACGAGCCACTGAACACCCCTTCCCTCCGCCGCCCGTGTGTGGGGGGGGTGTGAACTGAGCCCTGACGGGCACCTGTCTTGGGGGCACAGGCCACACCTGACCACGGGAGGTCGGGTCCTGATGAATAAAAACGGAGACACAAGTTAGTTGTTAGTGAGTTTTTCATAATGGTCGTTGGTAGGAAAGCTGCTTTCACACACTGGGCTCTGGGGGTAGAGTGATCAGGCCGGGACCCCGAGTCTATGGCCCCCGCCCCCAGAGGGCGCCCCACAAAGGCCTCAACCTGGCTCCAGCCTTCGCCGTAGTCTTTGTTGGGCAGGGTCCCAGACAGACTGGGTGTCCCACCCCAGCCAGTGGGGGGCTGCACGGACCTGGGTGGGCACAGAAGACGCCCCCTGGAAGCGGGGAGGAGAGCAGGGTGCAGCGAGGGGCTGTGGGAGGCGGCGCGGGGCGAGGAGCCTGCTGTCACTCGTCTCCACACCCAAACCCTCCAGACCCAGCTTCTCGCGGGCCCCCCGTCGGAGCCCAGCAGCCCCGTTTCAGAGGCGACTCCGGGTCGGGTGGCACAGGGTGGGCCGTCCAGCAACAGCAGAGTTCCGAGGAGCCGGGGCGGCGGGCCCTCCAGCAGTCCGCTGGACTCCGGCCCGGGAGCTGCCGCCGGCCGCTCCCACCCCCGGGGAGCACAGGCCTGACCAGCGGGACTCCGGCGGATCTGCCCCGCTGCTCAGCCGCCGTGCGGAGCCCCAAGCACGACCCTGACCTTGCCAGGACCCCAGACATCCGCCAGGGAGACCAGAGTGCCGGGGACAGAGGCTGCCGGGCAGCGGCGACTGGGCCCGTCCAGCCCCCATGGTGTCTCCTGGGTCATTCAAGTGCCTCCATCGCCACATGGCCCCCAGGACCCAGGTGGGGTGGACTGCCGGGGACACAACCACTGTCTCAGGGAGGGGCAGGGGCTGCCGGGCCCCCCAGTGCAGTTGGTGGAAGGGTACGAACTCGGGGGGCCTTGCGGCCTTGGGGTGAAGCACAGGTGAGTGTGGGCCCCAGGGCTCGCCTGGCCTCTGACCCCCAGGACTGTCCTTGGATGAGCTTGGCGGGTCCGGGCAGGTGGCCACCACCCAGGCTGTCCTGCCAGGAGACTGCCCCCTTTGTCGGGGCAGCAGGAGGGGCGCCCACCCTCCCGACCAGGCCGCTGAGACAAGCGGTCCTCCCAGCTCTGCTGAGACGGGCGCCGGGTCCTGTGCTGCTCTCGCTGCGAGACCCAAACCCCATCAGGGACCCTCTCGAGCCTTCTCAGGGGCAGGGACATGGGCGGGGAGGCACCCCCACGCCTTCTCAGGGGCGCCGGGTGAGGCGGGAAGGCTCTGGACTGGCTGCGTCATGCCGAGATTCAAGCCGCCGGAGCACCAAGGCAAGGCCTTGCCGAAGCGGAACTGCTGGGTCTCGACCTGAGATTGCCCTGATCGAGGGTGTCTGGGGGGCACGGTGATGTGGGAAGGCAGGGGAGGACAGAGGCTAGGGGCTGGATGCACCCCAGACCCCACGCCACCCAGAGGAATGGCGGCGTCTCCCCTAAGCCTCCAGGAGGGCACGGCCAGGGCCCGATTCCGCCTGCGGCCAGCCGGCCAGGGCCTTGTCACGGCGTAGGGCAAGTTGAAGTCTCAGGCGTGTCCACCCTCCCGCCATCAGAGTAAATGCGCGCCTGGTGGCGGACCCCTGCAGCAGGGCGTGGGCATGCACAGGTGGGCGCACCTGAGCCACGGGACTGGGCTTGCAAGGCCGGGGCGGCAGAGGACGGCGCGGTGCGCACCGGCGTGGTGTGGGCTGCGGCGGCCGACAGCGGAGAACAGGAGAACGCCCACAGGGCTGCGCGAACCGGCGCTGAAGCTACCCGGTACGGGACGCTGGCACTACGCATGGGCAACCCGCAGGCGGCGCTGACCAGCCCGGCCTCTGCAGAGGGAGCTGGGGGCAAGGATGCTGCCCGCGCAGGCGGAGGGGCCGCTCCAGACAGGGTGCGGCGTGGGCATCCAGGGCGGGTGGTCCAGCTTCACCAGCAGGGCTGGGGCAGCCGTCAGGCCCCAGCGTGGGCCCCACAGGCCTCACTGCTCACGTGGGGCGGCCCGGAGACGGGCCCCACTCAGAGCGGGGCCGGCAGAGCACGGCCGAGGAGGAGCCTCCCTCCAGGCCAGCGCAGAGAGCAGCCGGGGCTTGAGTGCCGGGTCTTCCTGCCCTGGCTCCTCTGCTCCTGCGGGGCTGGAGGCGGGGCACGAGGACCACGGGAGGAGCACGGTAGGGGGGCCTCTGAGTGCCAGCCAAAGGGGTCAGGGTGCACCCTGCAGGGGTGGGCTCCGGCCCTCAGGAGCACTGTGGAAGGCCAGGGGTTGTCTTGGGAGCAAGCAGACAGGACGCTGGTGGGGGGACACCAGGCCTGCGGGAAGAGGGTTGAGGAACTCGGGGAATCACACATCCTGAAGCTGAGGCCTCAGCGCCAGACCCATCTCCAGGAAGGCCGAGCGGCAAGGCAGCAGGCGCGAGGGTGGCCTGGAAGGAGGCAGCCGCAGGAGGGCTTGCTGCGGGGTCTGGCGGGAACAGGCTGCAGGCACCCGAGGCTTGAGGATGTGGGGGACAGAGAGGACCCCCAAGGGCATCTGGTAGCCGCTGCTGGAGCCTGCACGGGGTGGGGCGAGGCCGGCAGTGCCCAGCAAGGGGAGGATCCCAGGCAAGGCGACAGCACCAGGGCCCGGAACCCACACCCACACAGCCAGCCCACGCCCCCACCGCGGGGCCCCCGGAGCCAGACCACCTGTGCATGGGGAGGGCAGCCGGTGGCCGGATAACACCCAGACCGGGCCTGGGGGCGAGGTGACGCCAGGGAGCCGCCCCTGACAGACCAACGGGGGGAAACAGCCTCAGGAAGAGCCCGGTTGCTGAAGAAACGTGCGGGAGTGGGGGCGCAGGCGGGGCTGCTGCTTCTCTGCAAGCCAGCCAGGCCGCCACGCCCCTTGCAATACATCCACAGTGCGAAGAAGCCACGGGCCGGCACCACCGTCCTTCGTGTTCACCCCCAAATACGTAGCGGGTACCTTCCCAGGCCAGGCCCCGAGGCTGCGGGGTCCAGTGCACAGGACAGGGCCCCGCCCCCACCCTGGGTCCTGTGATGAGGTCAGGCTGGAAGAGGCCTCCTGCGTGTCCCCCCACCCCAAGCTGAGCGGCGGAGCCCAGGACAAAGATGAAAGGGCCGGGTAATTAAGGCGCCGCAGACCCACTCACCGAGCCCTTTGTGGACGCTACGAAAGAAAGCAAATAAATGCAACCCGTCTCTGGTTTCTAGAACACAGGGACCTCTGAAATTACAAGACATTAAAATAAAGCTCTGGGTAAAAGGACTCTTCTAGCCACAGATCCCCTGTCAGATCAAGACTGAATTGTCCCTGAAAGCTCAGGCGAGGCTGTACCCCGCGGCTGGCCCAACCCCCAGAGCACCCGGTGGCCTGAGCTCGCCCGCAGGGAGACCCTCCATCTGCTAGGGGGAGACAGGACGGCCCTGGACCCGGGCGCGGGCGAGCTCCCAGCCAGCCCCAGGAGGCCATGCGAGAAGCTCTGCTGGAGGGTCCTGCAGGGTCTCTGGGCAGCAGGACAGCTCACGCCTGGTCCTGCGTCCTCTGCCGACTCCTCACAGTCGAGTGGGGGCCAGCGGGCGGTCTGCGCCTCCTTGGTGCGCCCTGGCCACCCACGGGGGCAGTGCCGCATGGGCAGACGCGTCAGAGACGGCTCGGCTGGTCGGATATTGGGTGCACCGGGCCGTGACGTGGACGCTGCAGGGGCTTCCCGCAGCTGCCGATGAAGGTGAGGATCCGGCTTTGCTGTTTTCCAGACGGTGGCACCCAGGCCCCTCTGCCAGCAATGCCCAGGCTCTGGCCTCTGGCAGCAGAGGACCCCCATGGCTGCGGCATGAGTCCAGGCCACAGGCTGCCTGGCACGTGTGGACACGGGCCCGGTGCTGTCTGCGGAGCCGAGTCCTGCCTGCCCGGCAGTGTGGTGCGATGAGCACTGTCCGCACCGCAGCCAGCTGTCCCGGAGAGAGGGTCCAGCCACCCCAGGGAGGCAGCCTGGGCGGCTGCACACAGACCAGCGGGCAGGCTCTACCACCGGAGTGGCTGGCGGCCATGCCCCAGCTCGGTGGCCACATGCTGGTCATGCAGCTCCTTTAGCCGCTGCAGCAGTGCCTCCAGGTTCTCCCCGGTGGCCGCCGACAGGGCGATGGCCCCCGGCCCTAGGCGGGCGCGCAGCTCGGGCAGGCGTGCGCGGGCCTGCGGGAGGTCGACCTTGTTGGCCACGATGGCGTGGGGCCTGGCCGACAGGCCTGCCTGGTACTGCTCCAGCTCGAAGCGCAGGTCCGCCAGCTGTGCCCAGGGCTCGGGCGCCGACAAGTCCAGCACGAAGAGCAGGAAGCCGCAGCGCTCCACGTGCCGCAGGAAGGCCAGGCCCAGGCCCCGGTTCTGGTGCGCGCCTTGGACGATGCCCGGGATGTCGGCCACTGCGGGGACACGCCGTCTGAGAGCCCGGCCCCCAAGCCCGCCCAGCCCCGCCAGCCTGCACCCTCCCTCTGCAGAACGCCCTGAAACGTCCGGGTGACAGGCGGGCCGCCCGCCGGCCCAGCAAGGGGCCCTTCCAGAGTCCTCATGAAATGGCTCAGGAGAGGCAAGTGGCGGCGCACGGCCTGTCACTAACCCGAGCGCCGCGGCCTCGCGAGCACAAGGCGCCACACGCGGCCTTCCGCAGGCTGCCGTTTCTAATGGGCACATTATCTTCCCGAAAACACTGCCTTCTCTCGAGACACACAGGGAAAGCTTCTAAATCACACGTTGTCGACAGGACTGACGCGCCCAGCCCCCGCAGGAACGGGCGGGAAGGGGCGTTCCCTCGGGTGGGACACCTAGACTCTGCTCCCGAGCTGTGACCTGCGGACAGCGGGGGTGGTGGGCGGCAACCTGAATCCCATTTCGAAGGAGAACCAGTCGTCTAAACCAGGAGCCGAGCTGGTCTGGCCTGCGGTTAGGAAAAGACCCATGTGACGCCGGGCTGGGCTCCCGACCCGGACGCCTGGCGCCCACCTGCGACCTGCTGGTGGTCCTCGTAGTGGACGACGCCGACGTGGGGCTTCAGGGTAGTGAAAGGGTAAGAAGCCACAGCGGGCCTGGCGTTGGAAATGGCCCGGAGGAGGGAGGACTTCCCGACGTTGGGGAATCCCACCTGGAAGGGGGGGGCGCGGCTGGTCAGGGGTCTGCAGGACAGCGAGGCCCCGCCCTGCCCCTCCCGCCCCGGCACCCACCAGGCCGGCGTGCGCCACCGTCTTCAGCTCCAGGAAGAGGACTCGCTCCTGCCCGGGCTGCCCGGGGGTGCACGTCACGGGGGCGCGGTTGTCGTTGGCCAGGAAGAAGCGGTTGCCCTTCCCGCCGGCGCCCCCCAGCGCGGCAAGGTACTCGTCACCGGGGCGGGACAGGTCAGCCACCACCCGGCCCCCCTCCTTCACGAAGGTGCCCACGGGGACCTGGGGGTCGGGGTGCGTTTATCAGCACAGGCGAGCGGGAGGGGCCGCTGTTCCACGCCAGCTGGGGGGGGCGGGGGAGGGGAGGCCCGGCAGGGCCACAGGGTGCCGCCCAGGGCTGGCCGAGGACAGTTGCTGGAGCGGGCGGGCGCGGAGGCCGGGACCCGGGTGGACCTGGGAGTGGGCTCAGCTCAGGGGGGCGGGCCCCAGGGGGGCAGGGAACAGAGTGCGGGTTGGGGGGTGGGGGGGCTCTGTAGGCGCCCTCTGTGCAAAAGAGCCAGCGTCCTGACTGCGCGTGGAGCTGGGGCGAAGTCAGACCGGCCAGGGGCGCCCGCCTACCCGCACATACAGCGTGGGCCCGCCGCGCCCGCAGCAGTTCTTCCTGCCGCCGTCCTCGCCGGCAGCGCCCCGGTAGAGAGACAGGACCCCCGACAGCGACTTGACCTGCGGGTCGACTAGGGGCACGCGTGGGCATCAGGCCCTGCGGCCGGCCCCTGCCCCTCGTGCCCCGCAGGTCCCGCAGCCGGACCCTGACGGAGCCGAACCCGGTTTCCTTCACAAGCCGGCCCGGGCCGCCCGCCCGCCCAGGCCCCGGCACCTGCCTCTCAGGACCACGTGGGCCCCGCTGCCGCCGTCGCCGCCGTCGGGGCCCCCGAACTCCTTGCGGGGCTCGCTGTGGAAGCAGCTGGCCCCGGCGCCCCCGGCGCCCCCCTGCACGAGCACGCGCCGCTGGTCCACGAAGTGCCGCCTCTGCGAAGCACAGCCGGTCACCGGCCGCCGCAGGACAAGGGGCGCCCCAGGTCCCGCCGCGGCCAGGAACCGCCGCTGGGGGGGGCGCCCCCGTCAGCGGGGCGGGGTGTCTCCAGGCCAGGGACCCGGGCTCTCTGGCGCCACCACGTGGGGAACCGCGGCGTCAGCGCCACGCGGGAGAAGGCCCCGCGGGAGGGGACGCGCCCCAGAGCTGGCGAGGAGCCGCCCCGGGGAGGGGCAGGGCGGCGCCTGGAGCCCCCCCAGGCGGACACGCAGCAGGTCACAGGCGCGTATCTTCTTGCATTTTTCTTGTATGTTCGGGAAGACTGTCGTGCTCGCCACGGAAGGTCTGGGGACCCGACACCCACAGGCCGACCACGGCTGGCAGGCCAGGTCCCAGTGAAGACGGGCCTGGACCAGGGCACAGGCTGTGGGCACGAGGCCGGCTCACCCCGGGGGGCCTGCAGGAGAGAGCTGCCCACGCCCGGCTGGTGGCCAGAGTGCGTCTCGATCACCGGGTCGGGACAAGTGCCGGCAAGGACACTGGGAGCCAAGCACCCCATCCCTGGAGGGACCCCGTGGCAAGTTCAAAAGTCTCACCAGCTTTTTCTCAGAGAGCTGCCTCTTCCGGCACGGCTCTTGGTGCTTGGCGAAGTCTGCGCCGCTGCCCGAGAGCAGTCTGGGGGGTGCGGGCAGCAGGAGCCGGCTGGGCAGCAGGCGCCCCGGGCCCCCGACCGCCAGCCGCCACTGCGTAGAGCACAGCCTGGATGGCATCATGGTTCCTGCAGAGGTCACAGGGCAGAACCAGGCCTCAGCGGGACCGGGCGGGCTCGCCCGGCGGCCGCGGGGCAGCAACAAAGGTTCTTTAAACAAACCAACCGCAACATCCTTCCGCCTTCCTGCCGTCCGCAGACGCGCAGGGGCGGCCCCACCAGCCCACACCGCCGAGGCGGCTGCAGCACACATGCAGGGCCACCAGCTCTCCCGCCACACAAGACGTGCCACGGGAAAGACACTGAAGAGGGGGCCTCCCTGGTGGCGCAGGGCTTGAGTCTCAGCACTATGACCACACCGGCAGCCACTGCAGCCCGAGTCCATCCCCGGCCCGGGAGCTGCCCACAGGGCGCAGCAGACCTCTCCTGTCTCCCCGCTGCTCCCCTCAGCAGTGGGTTTCTGTTGATCTGCCTGTTCTGCTCCCCACTCTGTCTCTGGTGAGTCCTCTCAACCCAGCTCTTATGTGCATAAATAAGGAAAAATAAAAGAAGCACCAAAGAGGAAATCTCAGCCTCCTAAATCCCTGAAAGTGTCCCTAACTCGAGTGCGTGTGCAGGGGCGCAGTCATGCCCGCTGGGGAGCAGCCAGGCCCAGCCCTGCGCCGGATGGCCTGGCCGCGCTCAGCGCCACTGTCCCTGCTGCGTGTAAGCACCAAACACACGGAGGACGATGGCAGGTTGGGCGCCATTGTGGGGCAAGGCAGCGGGGAGAGCAGAGCCCACCGCTTCCTCACAAGGCTTCTGCCTCGCCCGATGCTCCTGAAAAGGGAACACTCTGAGGGAGCCCCCAGAGCCGCACCTCTGCCCTGGGACTGTCATCAGTCGGGCAGAGGAGGAGGATCAGAGGGCACTGCTTGCCGGGGCCCTGCCCCCAGGGAGTTTCTTACAGGCTGTTGGCAGAGACGGGTTTAGAGGGGGTCGCAGACTGGCAGAGACCCCAGAGCTCGTGGAGAATGTCACCCCGTGTCTCCGGGCACGTGGCCTCCGGCACGCACACAGGGACACCCCCCCAGAGGCAGGCCGGCCACCCGGGGTCCCAGCTCCTCAGCCTCTTGGGTTGGAAGGCGCTTCGGCCACTGCAGCCACCCTTCGGTTTCTGTCCAAGACTCATCTTGGCTCAGCCTCCTGGGGGACCAAGAGCCCTGAGCTCCCGGTGCACCTCGGCGCCCGCCTCCTGCTCCACCATTGCTCTGCTGTGTGGTGATGCTGCCAACAGGCTGGCTACGTCCTCACCCCAGCCCGCCAGCCTGCCAAGCCTGGGTGCTCCTGCTCTGAAGGGTCCAGAATGGCCTGGTGCTGCCCCCATGGCAACCATGAAAACAGCGGCTCCTCCCAGGCGCGCTGCTCCATCCAGGGGAGCTGGAGTCAGACCCCAGGGCAGAGGAGGATCAGGCCACGCCCACCCAGCCATACCCCACCTGGGCCCTCAGATTCCTGGCTCTGGGCTTGTCCCTGCACTCCCAGGCAGTCAGGACCTCCTCTCCAATGTGCGTTTACTTGCTCAGTCTTTTTTCAAATTTATTTAAAGATTTATTTATTTATGCATAGAAGAACTGGGGTACAGACCAGAGGTGCAGGCGGGTGGGTGGGTGAGAGGATTCACCAGAGACAGAGTGGGGAACAGAACAGGCAAACAGACCGAAATCCACTGCTGAGGGGAGCAGCGGGGAGACAGGAGAGGTCTGCCTTGCCATGCGGGTTGCTCCCTGACCGGCCGGGGATTGAACTCGTGCTGCAGAGGCCGAGGATTGCTTCATAGTGTGGTGCTTAACCCCTTGCGCCACCAGGGAGGCCCTACTTGCTCGGTCTTTTTAAAGAAAACGTCCTATGTGAGCCCAGCCCGCTGGCCAGAAACACACCCCCCCCCACCCCCGCCTCCACTGGTGCCCCAAACCCAGACATGGCCCTTGGGAAAGAATTCCCTGCGGCCACCTGAGCTGCAGTGGCCGCTCCTCGTAACCGTTCCAGACTGGACTGAGCTGGGTGGCCCAAGGGCGTGACCACACTCAAGCGTCCCAGTGGGCCCCACCTTCACACTCTGTTTTATGAACCCCGGACACACAAAGCTCTTGTGGTCACCCTAAAAGGAGATTCAGGGCTTGTGTTGGAAAGTGCCGCTCGCTGGCTGGATGGCCAGGGTGAGGATGCAGAGACCCCGTGGCATCGGGGAGACCCGCAGGGCAGCCTCATGCCTGGTGCTGCCGCGCCTCCCCGGCTTCTCCTCTGCGCTGCTGGGGCGTGAGGCTGGGGCAGCGGGAGCTGATGACCCAGGACAGCCCAACACCTACTTTTTCAATAACTTTATTTTGTGATGTACAGAAAAGGCACATCTTTTGCTTCTTACCCGGCTGCCCTAACGTGAGGGCCTGATGTGCCCGCGGCGCACCTGCCGAGACGGAGGCGCCAGGGCGGCACCTGACCACCAGCAGGCCTGGACAGCGCCGCTTTGACGCGACGTTTTCTGCTCCAGGACCTCGCCCAGGCCCGGCCCTGCACCCGTGGGACGGGAGGGGCCGGGAGCACCCCACCCCACAGGCAGCCAATGCTGGAGGCGCTAGGGAGGCTGGGGGGGGGGAGTGGGCACAGGGCACGAGCTTGGGGCAAGGGAAAGGATCACGCCCCTTTTCGGTCTTTCAAAGCGTACGTGGCCGCGGTCGTAGCGGCAGAAAGACGGCGGCGGCCAGACCAGATGTGACGGACCCGACGGCCTGACAGGGCCAGAGCCCAGGCCCCGCGCTCACCTCGGGGCGGACACAGCGCCAAGGAAACGGGCTGCGGACGACGGAGGGGGCCCCGCGAGCCCGGGGGAAAGGGCGCCCACCCAGGGGCAGGAGGCCCTGGGAACCGCGGGGCCCGGGCAGACGCTGCGCCCCCGCAGGCGACACAGGCCGCGGGGCCCCCGAACGGTTAACGCCGCTGCGCCGCCGCCGCGAGGCGGACGCTCCGGACAGCAGGGCCGGCGCCGGAGGGCGTGTGGGCGACGGGAGCGGCGGGGCCCGCGCGGGAGGACAGGAGCCCGCGGGGCGCACAGCACCAGGCGCGGCCGCCCCCGAGGCGGCCCCGCGGCTCCACAACCGGCTCGGGGACGCCCGGCGGGGCGGGGCGGCGCGGACGGACCCCGGGAAATGTGCGCCCCGACACTCCGACGCGCGGGGCCCCGGGCCTCCGGGCCTCGCAGGGCGCGGGCACGTCCTGACCCGCGCGGGGCCGGGGCGACGCCCGTCCGCCCGCGTCCTCGGGAAGCCCCGCGGCCAGCACCGGCGCGGCACGGCCCGGCCCCCGCTTCCCTCGCGGGGCGCCCCGGGCTGTCCCGCTCGGCGGCCGCCGGCCACGCGCGACTCGCCCGCGAACGCCTCGCAGACGGGCCGGGCCCCCAGCACCGGGGGCGGCCCCGCGCCCGCACTCACCGGCTCGACGTCACGCCGCTTCCGGGCCCGCCGAGGGCCACTTCCGGGGACCCTCGCCCCCCCCGTGCGCCTGCGCACCGACTTCCCCGTGCGCCTGCGCGCCCGCGCCTCCGGAAGCGGACCTCCGTCTCTCGCGGCGAGGTGTGCGCGCGCAGGCGCCGCGCGTCCCCGGGGCCCGAGCCCCTCGGGCTGTGGCGGCCCCGCCCACCGCCCCGGGGCCACGACCTCGCCCGCCGCCCTCAGAGCGCGCGCCTCCCCGCGCCCGCGCAGGCCGTGACGTCCCCTCCACGCCCGCCCCGCCCGGCCGTGACGTCGCCGCCCCGCGCCCCCGGCGTGACGTCGCCGCCTCGCCGCGGCCGCGCGCGGAGCCCGGGGCGGGCCCAGGAGCGAACACGCGGCTGAGAAGAAGCGGTTTATTGGCCGGACCCCCGCGCTCGCGGCGCCGCCGGCCCCGAACACACGAACACCAGACCGGGCAGCGGCGGGAAATGTACAGACTGGCGCGGCGCTCCGCAGCGGACGGCCACGGCGCGCGGGCTCGGCGCGCGTCGCGCGGCGGCAGGGGGACCCGCCAGGCCCCCGGGCCCCGCGCAGCGCCCGGCCCCGCGCGCCGGAGCCCTGAGGAGCCGCCGGCCCCGGGCTCCGCAGGCGGCCACCGTGGAAGCCGGCCGGGACACCCCCGCGGGCCGGCAGCGGGTTCCCGCTCCCGGGAGGCCCCGGCGGGGTGTCAGCCCTTCTCCGAGGAGGCGCCCGGGCTCGCGGACCGCCCCTCCCGGCCGACGGGGCCTCCCGGCCGGCGTCCCAGCGTCTGGCAGGGTTGAATGAGACGCGCCGCGCGGGGGCCACGCGCCGCCTCGGCTGACAGCGTCGCGAGCAGACGCGGGGGCGGGCGGGGGCTCTTTACAAAGTAACACGCGAGTTCCTCGTCTCCCTAGAGAGACAAGGAACGCTTGCTTGGAGATCCGAACAAGTAGGTTCCTGGAAGAAATAATATAAAATAAATAACTTGCCAGCCGATAGGAAAATTTGGCCTCAGGATTCTAAGTTGTAGAATCGGGGATATTAAATATCCAAACCCCAGAAGTGACTGTCACATAAAGAAGGTCCGCGGTGAAAGCAATGCCCCAGACGCGCTCCCTCAGGGGCACCTCTCCTGGGAGGCTGGCCGCGCCTCCGGCGCGTCATGTCTTGTGAAATGGTCACGATCCCTCTTGTACAAAAACATATATACCTTTTGGGAAAAACAGAACTGGCGAGAGACACAGCTAAGGAGCAAGCTCTGGAAGGGACCGTCCCAGGCCTTTCCATCCAAAGGACGCTCACACATCATTTTCTGTGTGTGACAGACAGGACCCAGCCCCTACGGAGGCACTGTCGTCCAGGGGCTGCAGTGTCCAGCTGCTGCAGAGCCAGTGACAAGACACGCTCACAGCCCACATTCCAACGGAGAGGGTCAGACCCCAGGCCTGCTTGTGTGACGTGGACTATGGCATCTTGTAGACAGGCCCCAGCACTGGACACAGGCTACTCTGATGACAAAAGGACCCTACAGCTAGCTAGAAACATCGAGAAGGGGGGACACATGAGACCGCCTCTCCATTGCATGGACATACAATACTATACACAGCACCAAGTGTGTCACGCGCCCCACGGCTTCTCGCCACCCCTGCGAGCAGTGCCATGCTCCCCTGCAGGCACTGCACTGGGCGGGCAGCCAGCGGGCGCAGTCCATCACAACTGCCGCCGGCCGCGTCCCCAGTGGACATGCTGCCACAGGCTCCAAGCGGGGCACCAACCCTCACTGCTGGTAGTTCCCGTACTGGCCCTGGAAGACAGAAAGACACAGAGTGACTGGCCGGGGCTGCACGTGGGGCCAGCTCCCTTGCAGCCTCAGCCCTGGCCCAGATCCCCTGGGCCTGGTGGGCTTTTTTCACGCTGCACCCACGGCGGGGGGGCCCCTAGCTCCTCAGAGTCCCCGCTAAGAGGCCTCGCTTTCTCCACACCCGATCTCCCCACAGTCCCCTAAACACTGTGGCCACCCAGGCCGGCACCCTTGGGGCCACCCCACCCGCCCACCCCATATCCAGCAAACCCTGAGGGTGGAGCCTCTCAAGTGCCTACCTGGCTGCCTCTCTCCTCCCATGGCCTCCTGTATTACAGCCAGAGCCCCACACTGGCCTGTGCCCCTCCCCCCCGCCCTCTCCAGGGCCCTGGTCCTGCCCAGCAAGGGCAAACCCTTGCCTTGCAGCCAGGCCCCACCCCCACGCTTTTCCCCTCTTGCCCCCAGACTGTCTGGCTGGCTGTGAAGGTGCAACTGGCATCCATGGTCCCCGTGGTGCCACGTGCTGGGCACCGAGAACCCTGCGCGGGAACCACTGGGCACAGCTGCAGGGGTGCGAGTGGGCCCGGGCTGCGCCTGCCCCGGTGTGAGTGTGGAAGCCCATGGCTGCCTGACTGGCTCTCTGACCGTGGGGCTGCTGCGGGGCTGCTGGGGTGTGGGGCTGTCTGGAGCGCTTGCCTGCTCGTAGCCGTAGGGCCGCTGCTGCTGGGCGGACGGGCCCGTCTGGGATGCCCGGTAGCTCCCGTACTGCTGGCCTTGTCCCTGCTGGTAGCTGGAGTACTGTGAGGGGGCTCCCTGGGCCGGGCCTGGAACAACGCGAGCCATGAGCCTCTGCAGGGGCCCGGCCCCCAACTCCAGCGCCCGGAGCACCAGCCTAAGCCATGATGCCAGCGCCTGAGGCCTCCCTGGGGGCCCTAGAACCAGCTGCTGCCTAACACAGGCCCTGACTAGTCCTGCTGCGAGGTGGCAGCTGCAGCTTCCTCGCTGGACCACCACCACCACCACCTGCGGGCTCGTGCCCTAGCCCCAGGGCGCACCCTCAGGACCAGATCTGGGCCGGCTGGTGGGCTTTCCCGAAGGCTTTGGAGTGAAGCAGCAAGGTGGGGTCTGGGGAAGCGGAGCTGGCCTGCAGCAAGACCTGCGCAGGCTTGTGTGTGAGCGTACCCAGGGAATGAACACCCCACGAGGGGAGCCTGTGCCTGTGGCTTTTCTGGAAACCTGCACACACGCCAAGGACAGTGAGCTGAGCCCCCTGCTGGGTGGGGTGGGGCGCACAGGGACGCTCCCCTCTTACTGCTCCCTTCTTACCGTAGCCTTGCTGCTGCCCCGGGTAGCTCTGCTGGTTGGGGTACTGCTGCTGGTACCCTGCCTGCTGCTGCGCCGTGCCCTGCTGGTACCCTGCCTGCTGTTGGCTGTACTGCGAGTTCCCTGCAGAGCGAAGCAGACACAGGCTCGCTTTCCCGCATGGCGTAAGAGGTGGGGGCGCGGGAGTCCCCAGACCACGGCTACCGCCTCCTTTTTCACAACTCACACCCAGTTACACTTTTCCTTACTACCTTACAAAAACACAGACAGACACAACGAAGGAGTTAAAACCAGGCAACAAGGCCAGTGTGGCGCGTTGGGCTTCACCCCCTCGGTGCCCGAGCTCTGTCAGGGCCGCGGGTGGGCGAGCGCAGGGTGGCCCCTGGAGCCCCACCCAAAGACGGTCCTCCTAGGGAGGGGGCTCCTCGGGCGGCTGCGGGGGGTGCGGGGACCAGGGAGGCAGGAGGGGGTGGCGGATGGCACCTCTGCAGCCCCAGGAGCTGGTGTGGCCTGGGCCCCGGCGCTGGACCCGCCCCAGAGCTGGGAGAGACCCGCGGTGGGGGCGCCCGGCCGCCCCCGCCCCCGGAGACGGGGGTGCCGGGCCCGGGTGGGCCACGGCTCGGCTCGGGTGTGCGGGAAAGAGCGACGTGGGAGGACGCGCGGGCACGGCAAGCGCAGCCCGAGGCCGGGCGGGGTCGCGCGCGGAGAGCCCCACGGCCCGGGGCCCACGCCCGGCGCGCCGCCCGGTCGCCGAGCCTCTCCGCGCGCGGGCGGGGGGGGGGGGGCGCGGCTCGGGCCGCAGGGCTCCTCTCAGCGCGTCCCTGGAGGGTCGCGCCCCGCCCCGCCCTCGCCTCCCCGCCCTCGCCTCCCCCCCCCGCCTCCCCCCCCACCCCTCGCTCCCGGCCCCGCCCCAACACCGTCCCGCTGCGGCCCCCCCCCCCCCCCCCCCCCGCCCCAACACCGCCCCCCGAGGCCCCGCCCCGGCCGGGCTCCCGGACCAGGCCCCCACGCTGAGCCCGGGGCTGACGGGGCTGACGGGGCTGACCGCGGCTGACGGGGCTGACCGGGGCTGACCAGGGCGGACGGGGCGGACGGGGCTGGACGGGGCTGACGGGGCTGCGGGCTCCAACGGGCGCGCAGGGCGGCTCCGCCCTCAGCAGAGGAGGGGGGCGGGCGCCGCGGGCCGTCCCCGGAGACATGGGTGCGGCCGGCCCTGGCCGCGCCCTTGGAGGGGCTCAAATGGCAAATTTCGTTCTGGGTTTTTACCAAACTTTGCTAAAAGCCACGGAAAAGCCGCATTTAGGAGCCGCCTGTGTAGCCTCTGGCGCCGGCTGCGGCCCCGCTGCAGACCAGGGGGCCCCGGGGCCCTGCGTGCGGGGGTGTCCTCCAGGCACAGGCCCATCCCCGAGCGGGGCGCGCCCGGGGGTCCCAGCCCATGGCCGCACCCGCCCCTGGCGCCCACCCCAGCAGCCTGCCGAGGAGCGCCCCGCGGCAAAGGCACACCCCGCCGGGCCAGCCCTGACCCCGCAGGAACCGCCTCTGGGTCGGGGGCTCTGGGCTCCGCCTGGCCTCCTGCCGAGGGGGCTGGACCCCACGCGGGCCTGTCCCCCCATCCCGCACAGGCCCTGTCCCGTTTCACACGCAGGCAGGACAGGCCAGGGCGCAGCCTGCCCTTGCCGGGTGTGGGGTGCTGTGGCCCCAAGCGCGGCCCCCAGCCCTTACCGCCCTCGTAGTAGTGCTGCGTGGACTCCTCGAAGGACCGGTCATAGCTCTGCTCCGTGTAGGACGGCTGCTGGTAGGCGTACTCACCGTGCCCTGCGCAGGCGGCAGCGGCATCAGTGGCCAGCTATGGGCACAGCACCACCCCGGCCTGCTCCGAGGCCCTCTGGGCCATGACCCTCCCAGGCCGTCAGCAGCATGTGGCGGGGTGCACTGGGCTCACCCATCCCCAACTGGTCACCCAGGTCTGGCCCTGGCTCAGGCCAGTGCCCCACCTGGGGTCCTCCCCAGCCCCCAGCCCAGCCATCCTTCTGGACCAGTCCAAATGGCCCCTCCGCAAACCCTGGGACACAGACGCCTTGAGAAGGAAGTCACTGCAGAAGGGAGCACTGGGCGGGGAAGGGCCGGCAAGGCCTGACCCCTCCTCACCCCGCTGCCCGTGGCAGGCGTGGCGGGCCTCACCGTCAGGGTAGTACTGCTGGCTCATGGGCTCCGAGGTGGCCTGGCTGTGGCCGTACTGCTCGCCGCTGTAGTACTCCTCCTGGCCCAGGTACTGCTGGGATGAGCCTGCGGGCGGACGGCAGCGTCACCGGGCCCTACTGCCCACAGAGGGCACCCCTAGAGGGCTTGTCCCCAGCCCCCCGGCCGTGCCCTCCCCCTGGGGCCGGGGGGCTTTCTGCTGAGAGCACCCCCCACCCCGGACCTCAAACTTACAGTCCAGGCCCTGCCGCCACCCCCACAGCGGACGGGAGCTCGTCCCCACAGGGCCCCCGGAAGGGCGCAGTCCTGAAAGCATGCGGCCAGTCCTGAGTACCTTGCTGTGAGGGCCGGTAGGGCGCCAGGGGCCGCTGCCCCATCATGCCGCCGCCCTGCCCACTCGGGGCCATCATGGCGATGGACGACTGGCCCTGGTAGTGCTGGCCGCCGCCCTGCGCCGAGCTGTAGTGCGCCGAGGCTGCCTGCTGGTGCATCATGGACACTGGCGACATGACAGAGCCGGGTGACCCCGAGACGCTCCCGGCGCTGACCGCCACCCCTGCCTGCTCCAGGCCCCGCGCCCCTCGAGGCGCACCTCCACCCCAGGCCGACTGTCTGCCGCACCCAGGAAACGCCAGCCTGTGCCGCCAGCCCCACCTTCCCAGCCCCGGCCCGCACGGCGGCCCCAGAAGCCTGCAGCCTCGCGCCCACTCCGGCCCTCGGGCCCCGGGGTGCCCACTGCCTGTCCAGCATGTCACCCCTGCCCGGACCCCGAGCGCAGAGCCGTCCAGCAGAACAGGATGTGGGCCCATCAAGAAAGCAAAAAGAAACAGGTGGAATCTATTTTAAGAATGTATTTTATTTGACTCAATATATCCAAAATGTGACCATTTTCAGGAGGTAACGAATGTTAGGAAAGGGCAGGACCCCCACATCCTCTTTCTCTGCACTGCGCCTCTGCGGTCCGCTGTGTCTGACTCGGGCATCTCGCTGAGGCCCAGCACTTCCCCAGCTCAGGCCCCGGCCGGCCCTTCACCCCTTCCACTTCACCCTGCAGGGCGCACGCTGCCCCCCGCTTGGAACCTTCCCTGAGGCTGACACAGGGCACATCCCAGCCCCCCAAAGCTGGACACTGCCCGGCCCAGGGGCAGAGCCAGACAGCGCCCCAGCCCGCCCACACCACGGTGAGGAGAAGGGCAGCCCGGGGGCAGGCGGGGCGGTACCTGGGTTGGACTGCATGTTGATGTTGGCCCGAGACACGTAGTTGCCGATAGTGCCCTGGCCCTGCAGGGGCACGCTCTGCGAGGCGGGGCCCGAGTGGCTGTAGCCTGGCCCCGAGCCGTGGCTGCTGCCTGACATGCTCATGGAGGTGGTGGGCAGCGTGCTCTGTGCCGTCTGCTGCAGAGACACGTGGTTGGGCCCTGTGGAGGGCGGGTGGGTGTCACGCGCGGGCTGGGGCCTGAGACCATCCAGGACCACCTGTGGCAGGGGCAGGCCTGGCTGCGCTGCGGAGACCGGCTCCGACAGCGGCGTGGGGAGAGAGCCACCCAGCACTGACCCACCCAGCGCTGACCCGCCCAGGACGGCCATTCCAGGAGGCCAGTAACAGCTCCCGACTCAAAGAAATCCGGTTAGAAGGTCCAGTTCTGACTTCCAGCGGCCACACCTGCCCACATCAGAACACGAAGGCTCTGGAAGACGGGCGTTAGCCTGTGTGCCACCGGCCGTGTGTGCGCTTGGGCTGGCCCAGCCGGGACTGCCGCGGCGGGGACACCACAGCCAAGCCCCAGCCCCGAGTCCCGAGCCCACCCCGACCCCGGCGCTCAGGCCACTCACCATTGCCGATCTGGCCCTGCATGAGGGAGGACGGGGGCAGGCCTGTGCCGATGGCGTCGCTGAGGCTGCCCTGGGCGTGCAGGCCCTGGCCGGAGCCGCTCTGCGACAGCGCTCCAGGGCCCAGGGCCATGTTCTGAGTTGGCGGCTGCGACAAACAGGAAGGTTACGGGATGGCTAACTCACCCACCCAGCGGCCGCCGGGGGCCTGGTGATCCCAGGCTGCACCACCTCTCGTGGCAGATGCCCAGTCAACCGCTGCTACCACGAGTGCGGGGTGGACACACAGGGGCCTGGTGGGCACACACAGCTCCCAGAAGGTAGGTTCGCGCCAAGCTTGTCAACGCGCCTGGGGGTTCAAAGTCGGGTCCCCTCTCCCTTCCCCAGGCCACCAGGCTGTAGCCACCATCCCGCTCTATTGTCCCTGTGGACGACCCTGGACCCACCCTGCACCAGGGTCTTTGCACCAGTGCCCACACCGGTGCATGGGCATTCCCAAGGTGCCCCTGTGCGATGCCCTTCTCTGCTCTCCTCTATCCCCTAGAGACAGGCGAACAGGGGCCACTGCACTCAGCTCCCAGACCTGACCAGCCAGCAGCTGCCCAGGGGCAGACGCCAAGAACGACTAGTGCCCAGACCTGCAGCCCACGCAGGGCCCACGCTGGTGCAGCAGGCACGTCCTGGCACGCGTGGTGCCGCCTTTGAGGGAGGGGCAGCGGGGACACTTATGTCCTGGAGCTGGTCAGCAGGGCCAGCCCCACGTGAGGCCGTCCTTGCCTGTTCACCCACCAGGAGGCCTGAGCAGCCCCAGGGCACCCTGCCCTGGCGGCAGTAACTGGGGGTTACATTTGAAAAAGTCAAACAGAAAATAATACGTCACGCTGATGTCTGTGGCATCCAGGAGAGACGTGTCTGCTCAGGCAGGCACACTGCAGAGCCCCGCCACCCTACACCCTCAGGCCCGCTGCCCACACCCTCCAGGTTGGGTCCTTCAGGTCATCTGCCCGCTAAGGAAGCAGATGCTGCAGCCTTACCGGGCCCCGTCCTGCCCCCCTCCCCCTGGCAGGAGCCCAGCTCCCGGCCACCTGCTGCCACAACTGGCCTAACTCCACGGGACACCCCCCAGCCCCCGTGGGCACTCACGGCGGGAAGCAGGGACTGCATGTTCTGGTTGGAGTCTGCGATCGTGGCCAGGTAGACCAGGTTCCGGTGCAGTATCTGCTGGTACCTGCGGGCGAGAAGCACAGCAAGGTGTGGGCCCCGGCTGCTCCGCGCAGAAGGCTCGCCCGGGCGCCAGCCCGCCTGCTCTGAATCGGTGCTGCCGTCTGCCACAGAAGGACCAAACGTACCCTCAGCGCGTGAGACCTTCAGCAGAAAGCAGCTTTCGTAGCATAGCGAGCGGCGGGGAGAAGAAACGGGGCAGTTCCCAAGTGAAACACCCGAAGTCGCCCCCCCCCACCCCCATGGGCAAACGCCCAGCCAAGCAGGGCCGCTGAGCCAGAAAGCTTGTGCCTCCACCGCCCCCGCTAAGGCACCCCCTGGAGAGGAGCACCTCGGGACCCGGACACACCCGGCCTCCCCCACCCTCGTCCCCGGTGCAAGTCCCCGGTGAGGCGCCCCCGCCCTTCCTAGCCCCTTGCTGCTCAGCCCCCGTCCTCAGGTGGGACAGAGAACCTGGCCTCCTTTCCCTGGGGGTCACACTGTTACAGCCCCTGGGGACGCGGCCCCAGCCAGGCCACTGGCCAGGACAGGTAGGGACACTCACTGGGCGCACTCAGCCGTCTTGCCCTTGCTCTGGTAGTCCAGGATGCACTGGATCAGGTGGTGGTTCTCGTCCAGCATCTGAGCAACAGCAGACAAGATACGTGAGACGCGCAAGATACTCGGTGTCGCGTGTCCCCACGTGGAACGACAGAACCACTGCTCGGTGCAGCCTCAGCACCTCCCGCGCTGAGCCCCTTCTGTGCTGGGCCAGCCCCACCAGCCTGACCACCGCAGGCCCACCTCCCAGGGCCCTTGGCCACGAGGCAGGCATCCACCCACAGGGGGCAGAAGATGCCAGGACCCGGAGCCCCCCAAGTCAAAGTAACCTGGGGGCCTCCCCGGTGGCGCAAAGGTTAAGACGCAACCTATGAAGCTGTCCGCAGCCTCTGCAGCGTGAGTTCGATCCCTAGCCAGGATGCTACCCACATGGCGCAGCAGACCTCTGTCTCCCCGCCACTCCCCTCAGCAGTGTATCTCAGTACATCTGCCTGTTCTGCTCCCCGCTCTGTCTCTGGGGAATCCTCTCACCCCCTGTACCTCTGGCCTGTACCCCGGTTCTTGTACACATAAATAAATATATCTTTAAAAAAAAAAAAAAGCGACCTGGGCAGGCACGGGGGAGCAGCTCGTGTCCTGCAGGCCACAGAGCCCTGAGAGCCGCTCTGCAGGACGAGGGGGGCCGAGGGGGGCCGGGAGGGCAGCGCAGGGGCCAAACAGCGCCCTCTGCCCCGCGGAGGCAAACCCAGAGGCCGCCCCACACGGAGGCCGGGAGGACACAGTTTCGTTTGCTTTTTCCATTTTTTTTTTTGACTTATAAAGAACTTAAACTTGAAAATTACAGTGAACGCCACGGCTCTTAGGGACCTGGGGACGTAAAAGCAGTTACTGTCGATTAAAAAAGTCGTCAGAACAGCCAAGCCCAGAGAGTCCTTGGACGCCAGAGATCCCGAGGCCGAGGCCAGGCTGAGCAGCCGACGGACCCCCAGGCACCAGGCCCGGACCCCCACGGAGGCGCTTTCTCGGAGCCGAGGGAGGGGTGTCTGGGCGGCGAGTGGGCTCTAGGAGGGGGACCTGTCCTCTGCGGCAGATGGGGGGCCAGAGGAGCATGAGCCTGCTCCCCAGAGGGGAGACACCCCCATCCTGAGAGCCCCTGGGTGGGACCACACTCCCAGGAGCTGTGGGGATGCAGGTCAAACCCCACGACCCTTTCCAGGCAGGGCCCGACCCCAGGACCTTTATCAGAGACGGCACCCGCAAGGGGCGGCCTGCTCCCGGGGGTGCTTCAGAGCAGAGGGGGCCCGCCTGAGGGAGAGCCCCGAGCCAGAGGACCCCACCCGAGCTGGGGGTGGCGTCCTGCAGGACAGGAGCCTGGGAGACCGGCCTCCCGCTGCCGCAAGCCCCTCTCCCCCACGGCCGCAACCTGTCCCCTGGCCAGCTGCAGGCGGGCCGGGCGGGCTGCGGGGTGAGAGTGAGACTCCTCCCGACGCCGCCTGAGCCAGCACCGTGCCCTTGTGCCCAACATGCTGGTGTCAGGCGGGCTTCGGGGTTGGGGCCAGCTGAGTCCGTGAGGCCCAGGTGGGCATGTGGGCTGACAGCGGGGGAGACCGCAGCCCCCACGCGAGAACTTGGGGCACGGCAGCCGCTGCACCTCAGCCTCCATGTCCAGCCCGCCGACGGGCAGCAGGCCACCCCGGGCACAGGGCGGGCCGGCCCGCTGGGACAGGGAGGGCGGGTGCTGTGTGCAGGTGACCCTGAGACCCGCCCTCTGCGGTCAGAGGTCACGCGGGCAGGTGCAGATTTTTATTCCCCTTGAGCGTCGCCAGCGTCCTGGAACACGCGCGAAAAATCACACGCGGTTGGAATCGCTTCAAAGGGATGCTAAGGGAGCCCGGCCCGGCCTGACCTCGGCGCTGACCTTCTCTCACGGCAGGTGAGCGGCAAAGGCGGCACTGGGGCAGCAGTGAGGGGCCTGGCGCGAGGCCCCAGGGGCCCCAGGAGAGCTGAGGGGGGCGCGGTGGGGGGGCCGCACCTGCGCAGGTGTGAGGGCAGAGCCGCTGGGCCCGCGCCACCGCACAGGCGCCTCCACCCGCTGCTCGAGGCAGCACTGGCTGCCTGGTCCCCGCACTGGGCTCTCCCCGCTGGGCTCGGGCCCCAGGGACAGCCCCACGCACACGCGCCCGTCCAGCCGCCGTCCCTGTGCTGAGGCCCAGCCCGAGGCGGGCGGGAGATGTCGGACGTGGACGCTCAGGGGCTTGCACGGCCCGGCCCTCGCCAAGGGGGCGCGTCAGACGCAGGTGAGGGGCAGGGCCCGCTGCAAGGCGGACGGGAAGGGGCTCTCAGGGCCCCGCCGGCTGTTCTCTCCACAGAGGCCTGCTGCTTTCTGACCAGCGGGGGCCACTGGCGGGGGGCGGCCCCTGGGCAGAGAGGCCCCTCCCGCCTCCCACCTGCGACCTCAGAGGCTGTGGGAGCACCCTGCCAGCGGCTGGGGCGGGGGCGCCGGTGTCCCGGCCGCAGAGCGCTGCTGTGCGTGAGGCCGCAGAACTCCACGAGAGCCGCGGCGGAGGCCCACGGAGGCGGATGCGCGCGGGGGCAGGCGCAGGGCACCCCGAGCCCTGCTACCCGCCCCCCACCCCAGAGGATGAGCCTGGGCAGGGTCTCAACCCCAAAGTGCACCCACAGGTGGCCTGGGGAGGAGCGGGCTGCTGCGCGCCCCTGCACGGGGCCCCGCGAACAAGCAAAGCGGGGGGGCATGCCAGCACACAGTGCCAGCCCGCCGGGGCTTCAGGTTGGCTCCCGCCGCTCCCCCCAGAGGCTGGGCCCAGGGCCGTGCTGGTCACCTCGCAGCTCTGGCCACAGCGGCGGGCAGCGGCCCTGCCCTCTCCCACGACCCTGGGCTGACCCTGATCCTGACCCGTGGCGCCCCCACCCCCCGCACCAAGCGCATCCGAGGCTGGAGAACAGACCGCTGCACCCCGGCCTGCAGCACCAGACCCGGGAAGCAGCTGGAAGGCCAGGCTCAGGGTCCCTGGCCTACGTGCAGGCACCCCAGCCGGGAGCCACCCCCACCCCGCCCCCAGAGGCCAGGACGCCAGTGTGAAAGGCGGGGGCCGGAACCCAAGAGGGCGCCGGTGGGTGCCCCGTAGTGAATGTCCTGTACGGGCGGCACCGACAGCCCCTGCTTTGGAGAGCCCAGCGGGAGGCCGGGGCCAGGCCACACTGAACAGAGGGAACGGGCTGGCCGCGCCTTCCAGCCTGCCCCCGTCCCGCACAGCCAGGACCTCTGGGGTGACCGAAACACTGTCCTCCTCCACCCCGGGGTCCCCGGCAGCCCACGGCCCGCGGTCCTCCCAGAGCGCAGCGCCAGTGGCGGCCCAGTCTCCCGAGAGCACGGTCACCCCCGAATGCCGGCCCCGCCCGGCCCGCGTGGGGGTCTGGGGCGGGGCCTCTGTGAGCACAGTCACGGGGCTCCACGGCCCCCACCTGTGACGGGGGGGGGGGGACTGCGGCCCCGAGCAGCACTTGAGGGCGCGGGACCCCGCGGAGAGCACCCAGCGCCTGCAGCCCCGGCCCGCCAACACCCGGACGGCCGCGCGAGCCCAGGAGTGCCGAGGAGACGCAGGCGGCCCCGGGAGGCGGTGGCGGCGCAGGGTCTGGCCAGTGGCTCCCAAGGGCTCCGGGGCACGACCCCCACACCCCAGGGCCCACTCCCGACCACGGCGCCTCCCAGGCACATGAGTCTGGCTGCCGCAGCCCTTCCCGCCTGCGGGTCTCCTCGCCCCGACCTGTGCAGGGCTCAGACACCCCGGGCACCGGTGGGCCTCCCGGGCGACGGGGGCGCCGCTGCCCGGGCAGGGCAGGAGTCCCGGCCTCACCGGCCCTGTGGGCCCGAGCCGCCCCTGCCCAACAGCCGGCAAACGCAGCCCCCGAACAGGCCGAGGCTGCCGTCGCCGCGCCCCCGCCTCGCTGCACGGTGAGGGGACCGCGGGGCTCAGGGCGGGGCCCCTCAGGAAAAGAGCAGCCCGTGGGGTGCAGGGACCCACCCGCGTGCCCCCAGCCCGGGCATCGGCGGGCCTCCTGGCCGGGGGCCGCCGCCGTCTTGAGGAGGAACAATGGGCGGCGCGCGGCCCCGCTCCGAGGCCGAGGCAGCGGCATCTCCGGGAAGCCCGAGGGCTGGCGTCCCCAGCAGGGAGGCGCGGGGGAGCTGGTCCCCGAGCTGTCAGACGGGGCCGCCCCAAGGGCGCCAGGGAGCATCCCGCGGGCCCGGCCCGAAGGCACCGTCGGCTGGGCCGCCCAGCGCGCTGGGCTCAGAGGCTGGGGGTTGGGGCTTGGGGTCGGGGCCCAGGGACCAGGGTCTGGAGGCCGGGGACTATTGCTCGGGGCTCGGGCCGGGGGCACGGCGCCGGGACTTGGGGCAGGGGCTCGGGGGCTGGGGGCCCGGGCTCGGGGCGCAGAACCGGGGTCTGGGAGCCGGGGCTGGGGTTCGGGGCTGGGGCTGGGAGCCGGGGTCGGGGCCCGGGCTCGGAGCCAGAGTCGGGGCTGGGGCTCGGGGTCGGGGCTCGGGCCGGGGCTGGGGTAAGGGGCCCGGAGCCGGGGTCGGGGCTCGGCGCCGGGGCTGGGGTTCTGGGCTGGGGCTCGGAGCCGGAGTCGGGGCTGGGGTTCGGGGCCGGGGCTGGGAGCCGGGGTCGGGGCCTGGGCTGGGGTAAGGGGCCCGGAGCCGGGGCTGGGGTTCGGGGCTGGGGCTCGGGGCTGGGGCCCGGAGCCGGGGCTGGGGTTCGGGGCTGGGGCTCGGAGCCGGGGTCGGGGCTGGGGCTCGGGGTCGGGGCTCGGGGCCGGGACTGGGGTTCGGGGCTGGGGCTCGGAGCCGGGGCTGGGGTTCGGGGCTCGGAGCCGGGGTCGGGGCTGGGGCTCGGGGCCGGGACCCTGCAGGCGGGGCGCGGCGCCCGGAGCCCCCGCGGCGTCTGCGGGCGGCGGGTGCGCGCGCGCCGCGGCCCCGGGCTGGCCCGGCCCGGCCCGGCCCGGCCCGGCCCGGCCCGCGACGCCGCCCGGGAGCCCGCGGGGCACGGCCGCCCGCCCCCTCACAAAGCCGGCGCGGGCCGGGCCGGGCCGGGCCCCGCTTTGTTCGCCGCGCGCCCACCTTCTGGATGGTCTGCTGCGTGACCTCGCCCTTGCCCCGCGGCCGGGCGGACGCGAAGGCCACCGACATGGTCGCGCGCGGCTCGGCCCGGCTCAGCGGGGCTCGCTCTCCGGCCCCGCGCGGCGGCCCGGGCGGCTCATTCTCCGCAGGCGCGGGGGCAGGGCGGGGGCGCGGGGGGCGCCGGGCCGTGGGCTCGCCCGCCCCGCCGCCGCCGCGCCGCCCCCGGGCCCGCCGCGCCCCCCCGCGCGCCGCCCGCCCCCGCGCCGCGCCCCGCGCGCCGCCCCCCGGCGGCCGCCCCGCGCCCGCGCGCCCGCGCCGCGCCGCCCCGCCGCGCCCCCCCCGCGCCCGCCGGTGGTTCGGCCCGGCCCGGCCCCGCCCCGCGCGCCCGCCCCGCCCCGCCCGACGCCGCGACGCCGCGACGCCGCCCGACGCCGCCGCGCAGGGGGGCGCGACCTCGGCGGGCGTCGGGGGCGCGCGCGCGGGCGTCGGGGGCGCGCGCGGCGTGAGTGTGCGCTTCGGCGGCGGCGGCGGGACTCGGCCGGGCGCGCCTCCGCCGCGATGAGCTACGACCGCGCCATCACCGTCTTCTCGCCCGACGGCCACCTCTTCCAGGTGGAGTACGCGCAGGAGGCCGTGAAGAAGGGCTCCACCGCGGTGAGCGCGCCGGCCCGGGCCCCGAGGCCGCGGGGTGCGGGGAGGCCCCGGGGTGGGGGCGCGCGGAGGCCGCGGGGTGCGGGGAGGCCCCGGGGTTGGGGGCGCGGGGAGGCCCCGGGGTTGGGGGCGCGGGGAGGCCCCGGGGTGGGGGCGCGGGGAGGCCCCGGGGTGGGGGGCGCGGGGAGGCCCCGGGGTGCGGGGAGGCCCCGGGGTTGGGGGCGCGGGGAGGCCCCGGGGTGGGGGCGCGGGGAGGCCCCGGGGTGGGGGGCGCGGGGAGGCCCCGGGGTTGGGGGCGCGGGGAGGCCCCGGGGTGGGGGCGCGGGGAGGCCCCGGGGTGGGGGCGCGCGGAGGCCGCGGGGTGCGGGCGCGCGGGGAGCGGGCCGGGAAGTAGGCCCGGGCCGGGGCGCGCGGGGTTCGCCCAGAGGGCGGCGCTTCCTGGGGCCGGGCCCGCCGGGGACCGGGCGGCGCCCTGCGGGGAGCTGCGCGCGGCCTTTGTCCCGCCGGCCGTGGGGTGAGCGCGCCGCCGGGCTGCGGGCGCGCCGGGGCGGGCGCCCGGGGGGGACAGCCGGCCATCTTGCGCGCCGCCCGGGCCGCGGGGTGGGGCGCGCGGCGGAGGCGCAGGGGCGGGCAGGCGGCCGGCCGGCCCCTCGCGCCCCGCACGTGCTCCTCGAGGAAGGGCGTGCGTGACCCCGGGCCGCGCCCACCTGGGGGATCCCCCCCGAGGGGAAGCAGTGAGCGGGGGGGCGGGGGGGCCCGGTGCTCCCTCTGGTCTGACTGCCTGGCGCGGACCCTGATGGCCTCTCCTGGACGCCGGGTCATGGCGCGCACCGCGTCCCCTTGCTGGCCAGACCCCAGGGCGGCCGGGCAGGGAGCAGCAGCGGCGCCCGGGGGCTGCTCATGGTCTGAGTCTGTTTGAAGTGAAAGCCCAGAGCAAAGAAGAAGGTCCCTGCCCCCCAGTCCTCCCTCTGCTGCCGCCATGCCTTACCTGCCTAACCCGCCAGGAAAGCATCCCGAGGCTTTGAAACTCCCCAAGGGGCTCCCTGAGATCAGCATTGCTGCAGCTAGCGCGCCCCGGGTCTGGCTCCAGGCCTGTGGACAAGCTTCGCGGCTCTGCTTGGGGCCGGAGGAGGCAGGAACCAGGCTCAGCGTCCCACAGCCGGGCTGGGGACAGCCCCAGGGCAGACGAGCGTCCCCAGGGCAGACGACGAGCGTCCCCAGGGCAGACGAGCGCCACTCCCGGGCAGGAGGGGCTCTATTTGGATCTACCGTTTCTGTCCTGCTCTTGGGGGCCAGGGGTGGGGGTGTTGGAGTTCAGGACGCACGGGGGCAGCCAGCCGGCGGGGGGCCTCTCTTCCAGACCTGGCCCATGGCCCTTTATACAAACATGCCAGCTGCTGCGCTGGGAGCCGCGCCGTGTGGGCCCGGGCAGGCATCCAGGCACTCTGCTGCGGGGATAGCCCCTGGGAGCAGGGTGCCCACCTGCACAGGGCCTGACCACAGGCTCTTGGTTTAAGGTGGGCGTGCGGGGAAGAGACATCGTCGTCCTTGGGGTGGAGAAGAAGTCGGTGGCCAAGCTACAGGATGAGCGGACGGTGCGCAAGATCTGTGCCCTGGACGACAACGTCTGCATGGCCTTTGCGGGTGAGTGGGCACCACCGGCCCTGGGGCCACGCCTAGAGGGCGGGGCCTGTTGTGCCTCTGGTGCCAGTCGCTGCAGAAGAGCCACGTCCCCCCAAGGTGCAGGTGCTCAGTCCCAGCAGCCCCGGGGCTCCCCTCTCATGACTTGGAATGGCCTCAGTGTGGGTCTGGGCCGGTGGTGGGCGCCCAGGACACTGGCCTGTGGGCCTAGTGCACCAAGCTGGGGCCCGGGCGAGGTTCTCTTTGCCACATTGCAGGCCTCACTGCTGATGCCAGGATCGTCATCAACCGAGCCCGGGTGGAGTGCCAGAGCCACCGGCTGACTGTGGAGGACCCGGTCACCGTGGAGTACATCACCCGCTACATCGCCAGCCTGAAGCAGGTAGGTGGCACTGCATGGGCACAAGCAGTGTCCATTATGGGGGCACGTCCTTGCTTGGTGGCTAGGCCTGTGCACATTCCCTTCCTGCAGGGTAGTGACTGCTTCTCTCTTGTCCAAGTGGCTGGTCAGCCGCACAGCCAGAGCTGCTGTCCTGTCCAGGTGGGCATGGGCCGGCCGTCTTGGGCCGGGAGTGGCTGTGGCTGCCGTGTACCGGCGCTTGGCATCCGACAGGACACGGCCTGGCCGGAGGAGGGTTGAGAGCATTGGTTACTTTACCCTTTGAATAGCCGCTGACCTGGCAGCGGGCTTGGTGCCTCAGTGGCCCCGCCAGCGCACGACCTCTGGGGTTGGCTCCCGCCACTGGCTAATGCATGCCCCTTCTTGCCAGCGCTACACGCAGAGCAACGGGCGCCGGCCGTTTGGCATCTCTGCCCTCATCGTAGGCTTCGACTTCGATGGCACCCCCCGCCTCTATCAGACTGATCCCTCGGGCACCTACCACGCCTGGAAGGTGAGTCCCAGCAAAACGGGCTCTGGGGCTGGGGCAGGGAGCTGGGCGCGGGCGGGGGAAGTGTGGCGTCTCCAGGTGCCCCTCAGGAAGGGTCTGCCCACCACCACAGGCCCCAGTGCGGCCTGCGCCACGCTCATACTTCTCTTTCAGGCCAATGCCATCGGCAGGGGCGCCAAGTCGGTGCGGGAGTTTCTTGAGAAGAATTACACTGACGAGGCCATCGAAACGGACGATCTGACCGTGAAACTGGTCATCAAGGCCCTCCTGGAAGTAAGCTCGCGGCAGGGAAGAGCATGAGATTGTGGAGTCGCCCCTGCCGGCTGCTGGGCTGGGCAGAGCGGGCGGCGAGGACGGGTCGGCAGGGCCCAGCACGGGGTTACCCAGAGCGGGCGGGGCCAGTGGGGCCGGCTTGGCCAAACCTCACTGGCATAGGGGTGGCCGCGTCGCCCTGCCAGATCGCCCTGCTCCAGAGGCGGGAGTGTCCAGCGCTCTTCTCCCACTCCCAGGTGGTCCAGTCAGGAGGCAAGAACATCGAGCTGGCTGTGATGCGGCGGGATCAGCCGCTCAAGGTGATGGGCAGCGTCCTGAGTGGTGGGCAGTGCGGCGCCCCGACTGGGGACTGCCGAGCCCGGGCAGCTGACACTGGGGGAGCGGTGACTGTGGGCTGGGCTCACTGTAAATGTTTCAATTGGTAGATTTTGAATCCTGAAGAGATTGAGAAGTATGTTGCTGAAATTGAAAAAGAAAAAGAAGAAAATGAAAAGAAAAAACAAAAGAAAGCCTCGTGAGCGGAGGTCTTCGGCTGTGGCTCTGAACGCTCATCGCGAGCGACGTTCCCGTCCCACCCGGACGCCTGTCACGGTTGCACGTCCCGCAATAAACGCCCGTCTTTTGTAACCGTCCTGAGAGCACAGCACCTTCTTGGGGGCCCACTGGGGCTGCGCACGCCTCTCCCCACCGCAGCACTCAGCGGCAGCCAGCACTGGCGCGGCGCCTCCAGAGGTGCAGGCAGGCCCGGAAGGGCACGCCTCGCCGCGGTGCTGGGCCTCCGAGGCCCCTCACACGTGGGCTAACGCCCGTTTCTTCTTGAACCCCAGGTATTAGCCGTCAGGACACAGCACGAGTCACTTTCACGGCAAGGCTGGCGCGAAGCTCCATGCGGCAGCTGCCGTGCTCAGGGCTGGTCTCGTGCTTGGTTTCGGGTTTACCTGCCCGATGCGTCTGGCAGGCGCCCCCACCCCTTGGGTCTGCAGGTCCATGTAGCCAAAGCGCACTCAGGACTCGAAAATGGAACACGGTGTCTAGAAACGGGCAGAAGACAGATGCTTCCCCCAAGGGGACATACAGGTGGCCCACAGCACCCCACAAGACGTCTGCCTCTGCCACAGACATGCGGAGCTGCTGGGCACCACCTCCCCGAGAACAGCTGTCAGCTGAGCAACAGGTGGCGCTCAGGCAGTTGGCGTGGAGTGTCCTCGAACAGCTCCAGTTCTCCTGGGCACTTACCCCAAGATACAGGAGCCCCACAAGGTCGACGCCCCGCCACCCCACCTTCCCTGCGCCTGCCACTGCCTGTGGGTGGCCCTGAGGTCAGTTTGAAGCGAGCAGCAAAACCAAAGGGAGGCTGGGGTCAGCCACAGGTGTGTGGACGTGGCCCTGGGCTCTAGCAGTCCCCCCCCCCCCCCCAGGCTGGCTGGCTGGCGAGGTGCACCTGAAGCTTCCTTTCCTAGGAAGGGGACAGGAGTCCAGTGCTGCCCAAGCATAGCTACCGCCTGGCCAGCTCCAGGCAGCAGCACTTTCAGCTACGCTCCGAGGCTGCCCCTGGACAGAGAAGGGCAGTGTTGCTCCTTTGCCCACAGGCTCTGCTGCTGGCAGAGGCCTGGTGCCACCTGGCTTTGCTCCAGGCTTACATGGGCACTTCACTGTTCAAGGCAGCAGCCCGCACACTTGTCAAGCTCAGTATAAGGGTCAAATTTTAACAAAGCGTCGTGACTGCCAGTCCCACCGGTGGAGAACCAGCACCGTGGCCACCTGTGGCCGGGGTGGTTTCCTCGTGGGCCAGCAATGATAGTTGCCCAAAAAGGCTCACACCCTAAAGCTCTGACGGCGCTGAGGTCTGTCCGGGAGGTCGGTGTGGAGACAGGTTGGAGCCGCAGGCCAGGTCTGAGAAGCAGCACTGTGGACCACACGGGCTCAGCCCTCAGATGGTTTTCAAAGGCCCCTGACCATGGGGCCCGGCCAGGTCACGGCCTCCCACACGCTCCCAGACTGGAGTGCAGAGTGCACGCGTCACTCCAGAGCAGCAAAGAAAGAAGCCGTAAAGGTTTGTGCATGTTTATTTATAATTACAATTTACACCACTCCCATGGCGTAGCCCACGACTACATTCTAAGCCTTAGCTATAATGACCTACAAAAATAAACCGAAGCTTTTACAACAACTTAATAGAAGGAAAATTTCTACCGATACGGAAAGAACGTGGTGACGGGGTGCCGACGCCCACCCGCCCCGCGGGCGCATGCTCCCCCAGAGACCCGGCCCGCCTACATGCAGCCAGTTTATGTCCCGCCCCCCCACCCACTTGTAAAACAAACACAAAACCTATTTACAGTTGAGAAAAATATGCTCAGTCAACTGACCTCGCGAAAGACGACTGGCTTAATCCACGTGCACGCGCCTCTGCGCGGTGCCTGCCCCGGCCAGTGTTGCCCTCGTCGGGGCTGGGGGGACTGTGCCCGGGGCTTGGACCCGGGCTGCCCTCCCGTAGAAGTCAGGCTCAGAGCCACCCCCCGGGAGCGACCGGCTGGGCCCGTCAGGGCGGGCTGGGCGCTCAACAACATGATCCACGGTGCCCTGCCCCCCCCCCCCCCCGACACGCCCCCCCGCCCCCGGTGGGCTCAGGCCACAGCACCGGGCCCAGCGGGCAGCAGGGATGCACTTGGCGTCACGGCTGCCAAATGAGATCTACTTCACTTTAAAAATCAAAGCGTTCAAAAAGTCACAAAGTAAGAGCCAATCTTTAGCTCTGGAAAACGTTTCCGCAAAATATCAAAACCTTACAACCAGGTTGTGCGTAACTAGAAAGGAAAGATGGGCCGAGACACCTCCAAGAGGCCGCCCGTGCACACCCAGCCACGCGGCTCTGGCAGGCCAGTCCGTGGAGCTCGGTGACGTCCCAGCTAAGCCGCAGCACAAGAGCCCTCCCGGCTGGGAGACGAGGACCTGCCCCTCCAGGGCGGGACCCAGGCGCCCACGGCCCAGGTGCACGTCCAAGCCGCTTCTGCAGGGGCCTGCGGAGAGAACAGGGTGCCGCGTGAGGGCGCTGGGGCGGGGAGTGGTACCGCAACACGAACCACCCACAGCCTGTTAACACGCAGACTCCGCTGGGGCCCGAGAGGCAGCCAAGGCCCCGCTGGCAGCGCAGACAGCCCAGCCCCCTGCAGCGAGAACCGGCGGCCACGCTCCTTGCTGCAGGACAAGCCGCGCCAACGCCGCCCACCAGCGGACACGGGAGCCCCACTCACCTCACACCCGGCCGGTCCCCGCTCTGTGGGAAGTCGGGTTGCGACGAGTGGCACCGTTGCCCCTGCCGCCTCGAAATCCACCCCGGAAACTACGGCCACGGAGAAACCTTCCCGATACCCCAAAGGTCTCCGTGTTGAGCTTCCTCTCTTCAGCCCATGTGGTCCGCCTGGAACTAAATCACAGCATCACACGGTGGCCTGAGTCGGGCCCTGGCCTCCCTGGGAGGACAGGACAAAGGCCAGGGGACAAAGGCCAGGGCTAGGCTGCCACTGCCCCCCAAGAGTCCAGCCAGCGCAGCCCCACAACCCACCCTCGGGCCTGTCACCAAGGCAGGCGCAGCTCCGGCTGCAACTCAGGAGCACGCACGGCTCACTGGGCCGGGCAGCCCAGGCAGAGACCCGGAGCACAGAGCCCTGCGGACACACGTAGCTGCTGGGTGAGGGGGTGCGGGTCAGGCCGAGCGAGTGCCCAACAGTGGTGGCGGGGAAATAGTACCACCTGCATGTGCTGCCCACGCCCGCCGGGACGAGTCAGTGCCTGGACCTGTGGGCCCCTCGGGCGACCCGGCGCTCAAGGCAGCCGCCTCCTTAAACAGCCCAAGTGGCCCGTGGCCGCAGCCCACACCAGGGACTCAGCATCTCCCCGTTACTCAGCTCCACCTTCAGAGCCCGCGCACAGCCCCGCCCTCCTCCAAGTCCCCAAGCAGGGCACCCAGCTTCCCCGTCTGCCCACCCTCATCCAGACACACTCGGCAGCTGGAGACCCCCCACAGTGCCCCTTGGCTCAGAGCAGTCATCACCCCAACCCCCGGCCCTGCTCCCACACCCCAGGCTCCTCCTCCCCGCACTCGAACTCTGTGAGAACAAGCTGCCTCTCAACGGCCTGTCCCGTGGCCCACAGTCCCGCCTCGCCAGCCACCCCCGAGCCAGGACACGGCGTGGGAGCAATGCCTCCCGGCCCACGTCCTGCCGCGGGCTCGGGGCTCTGGCCACGTGGCTGGTACGTGGGGCGTAGACCACAGGCACCAAGGGTCAGCTCCGAGCCCACTGGCTTGGTGACTACCGAGTGTGCTCAAGGGCAATACCTGAGCACCCACCAGGTGCTGAGCCCCCAGCAGCTAGGTGGAGGCCAGGACAGGGCGCTCTGACCAGCTGCCGCAGGGAGCAAAGGCCGGCGGCCCAGCAGGGTCAGCCAAGAGGCAGGAAGGGGCTAAAGCGAGAGGCCAGAACTGAAAACCGACAGCCGTGTGGCAGGTCGCAGCGGCCAGGCCAGCCTGAAGCACCGGGGCACCCCCGGGACGGCGGCCCCCGGGGCAAGGTGGCGGCAGCACCCCGTGCGGAGGGCCCAGGGGCCGGGCCCAGCCTACCTGGTCTTGAGCTCGGAGGAGATGTTGTCGAAGAAGGACTTGGACTTGTCGTAGTAGCAGCTGGGCCCCACGCGGCCGTCCTCGGCGGGGCCCTCGTCGCTCGGCGCCACCACCGCGGCGTCCTTCTCGTCCCCCTTGTCCGCCCTGTCGTCTGCATGGGGAGCGTGCTGCGTTGGGGGCGGCCCTCCCGGGACCCCGCACGCCCCCCGCGCCTCCTGAGCCCTGCTGCCCGCCCCCGGCTGGAGCCCCCAGGGAGGCCGGGCCCCACCTCTGACAGTGAGCTTCTTCTTGAACTCCCGGTCCAGCTCCTCTCGGTTAAACTGGGCGTTGGCGCTCTCAAAGTCGAAATCGCCCTCAAACTTGATGGTGTTCTCCTTGACGCTCGAGGGGCGGTTCTGCCCTCGGGAGCGGTTTCTGGTCCGCCTGTTCCCTGCGAGGAGACAGCCCGCGTGAGCCCACGCACGGGGCGCGAGGGCAGCCACGTCGGGCGGGGGCATCACCTGATCGCCTGCGCTGCGGCCGGCGGTTCTCGTCGTTCACCTGGCCTTGTGTCTGCGCCGCCGCCGGCTGCACTGCGTCTAGGGTGCAAGGGACAGTGAGGCCGGCGCCGGCAGCCTGGCCCTGGCGGGAGGCTCCAACCAGACCATGGGACACGGACGTACCGATGGTGGCCTTGCTGTTTGGCTGGGCCGGGCGGGCGCTGAGCTGGGTGCCCGCAGCGCCCTTGCCTGGAAACTGCTTCTTGGTGCTCAGGTTGTCGACAGAGCCCGTCTGCACAGCCTGCTCCACCATGGGGCTCTTGCCGCCCGGGACAGAGGGAAAGCCAGCTCCTGGCGGGGTGGGTGGCGCATTTAAAGACAGAGGAGGCGGCCGCCCGCACCCCGCCCATGCCCCCCACATGCACGCCCGACCATGGCCATCCCTCTCCTGGTCGGAACCACAGAGAGCAGAGGAAGGCAACACTCCCCACCGGCCACACCCCATGTTGGCCCGCAACAGGCCAGCAACACTCGCAGGAGGTTGGGTCAGGAACCACGGCCAAAGGGCAGCATCCACTGGTGTGCGGGGGCTGCTTAAGTGCCAGCCCCAGGGGCACAGTGGTCCTGTGCTATCGGGGAATTCACCACCTGAGGTGTTTCGTTCTGGCCTACGCAGGACAAGTCCTGCCCAGCCTGGGGTCTTCTAAATTAAGCGCTCAAACAATTTCCCTTTTGCTTAAGACACAAGCGGCTACGGATGACGAGAGCGAGCTGACTTCAAAGAACGTGCTGCCCAAGAGCCTCCCGACAGTAGAGGCCCATCGTGGAGAGCTGAAGGTTCGAGGCTGCCCCGCCTGAGTTGGGGAGAATGCTGGACACCTGCTGGGGGGCCCTACTGGGGGACCCCAGAGGCAGCAGCAGGGGCTGGGCTAGCGCCTCAGGCCTGTCCTGTTCCAGATCTAGCGCTGACACCCAGGCCCCGGGGAGGTGCACGGAGATCTGCGACACACGAGCCCTGGCCCTTCGTGAGGGAGCGCAGCACAGACGGAGATGACAGCCTGTCTTCCCCTCACACAGACGAACTTGGAGATGCAGAGAGAGCTCAGGGGAGCAGAGCCAGAGCTCACAGGGCCCAAGGAAGGCCTGGCAGGCTGCGCGCGAGGGCCTTGAGGCCACGCCTTGTCCAGAGCCACCTTCTCTGACCCGTCCTCTCAGTCAGCACAGCACCCGAGTGCCGTCTCCCGAGTGCTTCCTGCTTACGCTAACTGGATGGGGCCCAGAGTGCTGGCCCTGCAATCACCTTGACCCGGAGGCGCACCCCAGGCTTTGTACTGCATGCGCCCGGCCAAGGCAGGCAACCCGCCCAGCAAGAGCAAGCACGATGCCACCTCCAGCCGCGGGCACGTGACCTCTGGTCCTGGTGAGAACAGGGGATTCGGCAAAGGCCAAGAAGCCCCACAGGTGCCGCTACTCCGCGGCAGGTAGGGGCCGTGGCAGGAGGTGCAAGCCAGTTCTAGCCAGCGGCAGCCTGCCCACGTGCGCTCTGCGCAGGCCTCACCCAGTGTGAAAGGGCCTTCGCTTTTTTAAAAGGGTCCGTTCTCCTATTTCAAGGTTCTGGACGCTAGCCACAGAGCCACCCTGCCCGCAGAGCAGTGCTTGCGTCACTCAGGGAGGCCTCTGCATCACACCCGGCAGTCTCCAGCCGATCTGGAGCCAGCAGCCCGAGGGAATGCCCTCACTGACGTGTCAGAGGAGACCCTAGACCCAGGACAGCACATGGCACTGGTTCTTCCTAAGCTTTCCCCGGAAACCGGAGGCTGATGGGCCGCACAGCCTCAGCCAGCGCTCTGCTCCGCCTGTCACTCGGACTGTGGTCTACCCCTGGCTCAGAGGGCCGGCAAGACCGCATGCAGCTCCCCACTGCTGTTACCCTTGACAGTGAGCGGGCGTGGCTCTGAGGACACGTCAAGCTCTGAAACAGGCTGTGGAGATGGAGAAGAACTAGGGCTGGAAGCTGCGGCTGAGGCTGGAGGGCTTACCAACTTCTCTAAAAGAAGATAAAGGAGAAAGAGCAAAACAGAGTGCACATGTAAGTCACGCGGTGCCGATCCTCGCCCCGCTTGGGAAGGGCCAAGCATCTCTCCCCAGACACTTGTCCCGCCAACTTGTCTGGAGACAGTGTGCCAGGTTGAGCGGCGCCGTCACTGGGGTGAGCCGCCGAGACGGCAGGGCCTGGGAGGAGGGCCGCGGACGCCGCCTCGGGCTGCTCACACAGCGCACGCAGGAGCATGCGCGGGTCGCCTGCCAGCGCCAGCGTTCACCTGGCAAAACCATCCAGGCCAAGCTGAGCAGACGCTGTCCCTGCACGCAGGCTGCAGAGGCCCACCCGGCTGCATCCCGGGAGGCTCGCTGCTGATGGCAGGACATGAGCCGCAGCCGTGGGCCCTCCCCAGCCCCTCTGCAGACTTGGGCGTGTACTGGCGCAGGCCCAGGCCGCCCCCCTCCAGGCAGACGCGCTGCTGCCTCCACCCAGCGCGCCGGCACGTGCAGGCTGCCCTGACTCAGCTCACCTGCTCTTTCCTCTGGACCGGGTGGTGCCTCGAGTGGCGTGGAGCACACCGCGCAGAGGGATGAGAACACCGCCCTGCCATCGGGCCTGGAGCCCCGGCATGGGAGCTCGTGGCAGGTGCGTGAGAAACAGGCTACTCACCCAGGCCCAGGGACGCGGCATACTGCTGGCTGAGCAGGGAGCTGGCGGCCAGCTGGCTGTAGGACGGCATCCCTCTGAAGGGGCTGTAAGGCACGTGGGGCTGGAAGGAGGCGGCCGACGCAGAGCCTAGGGAAGACTGAGCGGCGAGACACACAATGAGCGCAGCGCGGGCCCACGGAGACCGGCTCCCAGGACGTGCCAGGGCACTTGGAGGCCTGTCCACTTTCACCCCTGCCCCCTCCAGGGACTTCTGGCTGCTGGCCACCAGGGCGCAGCCTCTGCTACGAGAGCAGGCATGCCCTTCTCCGCTCGGTCCTGCCGCTTACCTGCCCCTGACCGCATGCTTTGGGGTACTCTCCTCCTCCCCTCCAGCTGGTCCCTCGTTTGTGGGTATCCCCAAGACCTGGCTCTGGTGTGGTCCTTTCCTGAGCTCCTTGGGAAACCTACCCAGCTTCCTAAACGCCTGGTCTGGGGCCTCTCAGCGCACCCCTCAGCCTGTCTCTCATGCTCCCACCTCCCAGGGAGAACGCAGACCGGGCGCCCCTCCAGAGAGAGCCCCAGAGCAACCTCCGGGGCTGGAGCTGCCCATTGGGACCACACAGCGGGCGTCCTCCCGGAGCGGACACCTGCGGGAACGCTGCCGCCCACCCGCCGCGGCCAGAGCACCAGGTGCTCCCCGCGCCGCCACGCGCTGATGTGCCGCAGGCGGGACGCCCCGGAGAGCGAGAGCGCCAGGCCCCGCGGGGAGCGCGTCCCCAGGAGCGCCCGGGCGCGGCCGCCTTGCCTGGACGATGGCGGGGTCCTGCGGGAGCGCGTGCTGCGCCCGCGGCGGCTCGCACACGGTGATGTCCTTGATGTCGCTGCCGCGGAAGATGATGTACTCGTAGATCTCCTCGCGCGGCGGCGCGGGCCGCTCCGTGGGCCGGTCCTCGGTGCCGAAGGAGCGCACTGGGGCGAGGGGGCGCGTCAGGCCGGCCGCGGGCCCCGCCTCCCGCCGCTCGCGCCCCCCAGCCCGGCGCCCCGCCTGCGCCGCCCCCCGGGGCGAGGACAAAGGGCCGGGGCAGGGCCGCCCCGCAGCCGCCCCGGCGCCCGGGGCCCCCCGCGGCCCCCGCGGCCTGGACGCCGGCCCGAGGCCCAGGGCGCCGCCGGCGGGGGCCGGGGGGATGCGGGCGCGGGGGCGGGGGGGTGCGGGGGGGGCGGGGGGCGGGGCGGTTGGGCCTACCCTTGGCGAGCGCCACGGTGGAGTTGTCGGTGTCGATGGTGTAGAGGACGCCCTCGTAGCGGATCTGCGCCTTGGAGATGAGGCTGATCTTGCTGCCCAGGTACGGGGTCCCCGAGGAGCCGCTCATGGCGGCGGCGCCGCCGGGCCCGGCCCCGCCTCGCCGCCCGCCCGCGCGCCCGCGCCCGCCCGCCCGCGCCCGCCGCCGCCGCCCGCCGCCCGCGGAGCGCGCCGAGGCCTGCGGGACCGGCCTGCGAGGAGCGCGGGGAGGAGGGGCCGCCGCGGCACATCCGGGGCTCGCGCCGCCCCCGCACGCCCGCCGCCCATTGGCCGCCGCGCCGGCGCCCTTTAAAGATGGCCGCGCCGCCCGCCGGGGGCGGGGCCGAGCCGCGCGCCTGCGCAGCGCGCGCCGCCGCCCGCCCGGCCCGGCGTCCCCGGCTCCCCGCCCCCGCCCGGCTCCCGGCGGCCCCCGCGCGGGCGGGGCGCGCGACACCGCGGGGGCGGGGCGCGGCGGGGCGCGCGGGCGCCGTCGGGGGCGCCCGGCCCGGCCCGGCCCGGCCCCGGCCTCAGCCTCCGCTCTGCTGGGGCGGCCCCTGCCCCCCTGCTCCAGGCCGGGCCTCCCGGCGCCGGTGCCCCGGCCTGCGGCTCCCGGCGCGGCGGGCGGGGGTCCCGGCCGGCTGGCGGGGGCGGCTGCCCGCCGGCCGGGTCCCCGGGGGCGGGGCGGGGGCGTCTCCGGACTCAGGCCGCGGGCGGGGCGGGCCGGGCACCCGGGGCGGGGGCGGCCGTCGCCCTGACTAGGCCGGGCCGGCGGGGCCCCGCGGAAGAGCTGCCCGCCCCGGCCCCGGGGCCCCGCCCGACCCGGGGCTCCCCCCGGGCCCTCCCCCGGGCCCCCTCCCCGGGCTCCCCCCTTCTGCCCGCGCGGTCCGGCCGCCTCCCCGCCGGCGGGTCCGGTCAGGGCCGGGTGGGGTCGGGACCGGCTCTAGGGGTGGGGACAGCGCCCTGCAGCGCGGAGCAAAGCGGGGCCCGCGAGAACGGGGCGTCGCCGGGCGGCGGGCTGCCGGCCCCGCCCGGGCTCGCGGCGCCCCACAGCGCCCGGGGAGGGAAGGGGCCGCCGGGGCTGGAGAAGAGCTGGGAAGTCTTCGCGGTCCGCCTGCCGAGACTTTCCTGTCCCCCCCAGGTTTGCTTTTCGGCTCCTGGAAAGTGGCACCGGCAAGAACAGAGGCTGCACCCCCGAGTGGGCCCGCCCCAGCCGTCCTGTCTCGGGGCTCGGGGCTCCTGTGCAGGAGTGGGCCAGGCTGCCCTTAGCCCGGGCCCCCTTCCCAGGCGCACCTGTGGGGACCCGGCGCTGACCCGCTTTCTCGAACGCCTCAGCGGTTGCCTGGCCTGACAGTCCCCGGGACAGGGAGCATCTGCCCCCCGCTTTCCGGGTCCAGAATGTGGCTCACCCAAGGTTACGGGTACCGGGCCTCCCGCGTCTCAGGCTCTAAGCTACAAGCCTCCACCTGCTGGGGGTCGGGGCCGCATCTTCACACACAAGATCTGGTTCTGTCTTGGGAAGGCCCTGGGGCTCCCCCCAGGCCAGAGCAGCATCCTCCCAGAGAGCGCTCCAGGCCCCCGGGTGCAGCACCTGGTTCCCTGGGGACATCGACTTGTGTGCAAGTGCCCAGCCCGGGCAGAGGCTGCCAACACTGAGGTGCGCAGGCCAGCGATGCCCTTTTACTCCTGGGCACTGGGGAAAGGGAGCAGCGGGACCAGGATGTGAACCTGACCCCCACTGTTGGGGTCTTTCTGGGCCGCACGGTGCCCCCCTCTCAGCAACCGCCTTACACTGGCGAGTGCACACGCGGTGAGCTGAGAAGCCGGGAAACCCTGGCAGCTGACTCCCTGCCTCAGTTTCCTCATCTGCCAAGTGTAGGTCATGGCCGTCCTGCCCCTCGTACCGCTGCACCGGAGGGCCCCGGAAGGTAATGGCCGAGCCGCGTGAAGGCGCCAGGGCCCGGCAGCTGGCCGGGTTCCCGCCGCCACAGCTGCGTCGTCAGCGCCCGCTGCGTCCCTCGTGGGGACGGCTGCGGATAGGACTCGGGGCCTCTCGTCACCTGCTCAGCTGGGGTCACACGGCCAGTGTCCTGCCATAGGCGAGGGGACCTTGGCCGAGACCCGCTGGTGAGTACCGTCTGCACCCGGGGCTGCGTGCGATTGCTCAGGTGCCCCCGCTTAGAGGGCACAAAGCAGGGCAGGCGTGCCGGGTCCCAGGTGGTAGGGCCCGCCCCTCCTCTCCTCCAGGGCCCCAGGAAGGCCCCGCAGACGCTGCCTGCAGGCGGGCTTTGGGGGTGTCCTCTCCGGGATGCTCCGGGCAGGCCTGGAAGCAGGGAGGGGTGTTGGGAGCCCACGCCGGATGGAGGGGGCAGGATGCCCGTAGCTCGGGCCCTCTGGGGCTGCCCACGGCCCGAGGCCGCTCCCCTGGAGGGTCAGGAGCACGTAGGTGGGTCGTGGGGCCGAGGTCACGCCTTCTGTGATCTTTGCCCTTTGCCCCCTTTTCCCACCTCCCCCCTCCCCCTCCCCTGCCCAGGGCCGGCAGTGCTGGGGCCCGGAGGCGGGAGGGTGTGGTGGCCGTGCCCCCAGGTCAGCGTGAGGGCCTGGGGCGCCCTCCGGACTGCAGGGTTGCAGGGGAAGGGGAAGGCAGGTGCACAGCAGGCACAGCAGGCGGGCGCACAGTTCTCACTCCCGGGGCCCTGGGTGCCGCCGCCCGGCTCGCTGTGCTCAGGAGATGGGGTGAGGGGCACAGGCCTGGACCACCATGCTTCCCAGCCGGAGTCCAGGCCCCGCCCCGCAGGGGTAGCCCCAGACCCTCCCCAGCGTCAGGGAGTGTGGACAGACCAGAGGGAGGGCGGGTGGACCAGTGGGGGGCGGTCTCGCTGGCAACTGGGCGCGCTCCCAGTGAAGGGCCACAGGAAGGGGTGCTGGGGGCCTGCGAGGACCCCGTGTGGGAGGGGCCGAGGCAGGCTGCGACTCCCACCCTCGGGGTCACCCACTAGGCCACCCGCCTCGGCCTGGGGAGCAGGGCTTTAGGCCCAGGGATGGATGGGGGGCCTTGGGGGCAGTGCCTCTGGTGGTGGGTGGGTTTCGGCCCCCATGACACATGCTGGGAGCACCCAAAGCAGGAGTGAGCGGGACACATGCCGGGGGCATCCAGGGCAGGGGCAAGCAGGAGGTAATGCGAAGGAGTCTCAAAGGGGTGGAGGGGAACTCCATGGGGAAGCGCACGGCCTGGAGACAGTGTGGGGACCACACCTGGGGTCCCGTACGTCCCGCGCTGCGTGCCCGGGTGTCTTCTTCCCGCCATAAAGGGGCTGCCAGCTCGGCCCACGCCTGCTTCTCCTGGCACAGGTGCCGGTGCCGGGAGGCCGCGCTGCCAGCCTGTGCCCACAGCCCCAGACCTGGTTCCAGTGCAAGAGCCTGGCCGCGGCCAGCGCCCCATACTGTGTGCCCAGCTCTGAGGGGAGGGTGCAGCGTTCCTGTGCCCCTTGAGCACCCTGTCCTCTGCCCCTGGTGGGAGGCTTGAGCTGGACCAGATCCTGCTCTCCTGCCGGCAGTGGGTCCCCGTGGCCCAGGGGCCCTGATGGGAAGCCCAGGGTACCCCTGCGGGTGCCCCTCCCCTGGGCACCCCTCCTGCAGGCCCTCAGCCCACCAGGGGACCCGGGGAAGACACGCCTCGGTGGTGTTCTGGCCGCGTCTGCAAGCCGGGGGCGTGGGCCGCTGGCGGTCAGGACGGCGATCGTGGAGCAACGGTCTAGGAGGGGCCTGGCATCCTCAGCCCTGGACACCCATGCGCTCCCTGCTGTGCCGGGACAGTGGAGCTGGCCCTGCTTCAGCCTCTTCGCAGCCCGGGGGTGCACAGGAGCGTCCGGTGCCCTGATCCAAGCCCCATGCTCACCTGGACAGCCTGCCTGCAGCATCGGGGCTCAGCCCTGGACAGACCAGCTGCCCTGCCCCAGCTGGTGCTTGGAGAGGCGGGGCCGGGGTGGGTAGCTCCAAGCAAGAGGAGACAGGATGGGTCTCAGGTAGTTGCCATGGTAACCTGAGGCCAGCCCCCACCTGGCTGCCCGCAGAGTGGCAGCCCCAGGGCCCAGTCCTGTCTCTAGCCTGACCCCCAGCGTTCCCGCAGGCAGTCCGTGGGTCCCCGCGGGCAACCGAGACCTTCTCCCAGGGGAGAAGGGGAGCTCGGGGCAAGGGTGCCTGACTCCTGGGAAGGTCCGTCTCGCTCGCACCAGAAACCCTTAACCACCCCAGCAGGAGTCAGTGGGCTCGGGGTGGACCCAGACACAGTGCCGCGTGAGGGGGAGGGGAGGGCGGCGCCCGGCCGGGGGGGGGGGGGGGTGAGCGGGGGTGGGCGCCGGGCTCGCAAAGCTGGGCGGACAGGGTGCTGGTGGAAACACGTTTCCCAGGCTGCTCGCTCCACTGGCCGGGGGCGAGGCGTGTGGACACAGGCGTGAGCGCCCTGCCCCCTGGAGGGAGCTGGGCAGGGCAGTGGCCCTTGGAGGCCGCCCAGGGTCTGTGCAGCAACAGCTGCCGAGGCCTGTGCCCACCTCGTCTGCCTCGAGGCTGCGTCCTGGCGGGACATCCCAGGTGGCCACAGAGGGTGGCGTCTGGGCTGTTTCCACTGTCCAGCTCCTGGGCACAGCGGGCCACGGACACTCATGTGCAGGGTCTGCGTGGACGTGTCTTCACGCCTCTGGGTCTAAACCAAGGAGGGTACTTGCTGGGGGCCGCGCAAGCTGCAGGTGTAGGGGCCGCTCCTTCTCAGACATGGGGCTGCCGATGTGTCTGCAGCCGCGCTGGGTGCAGGGCGGCGCCTCACCCCAGGGCCTGAGCCCCTTGGAACCCACGCCGTGGTGCTGGCGGCCTGTGCTGGACTGGCTGCGCTTCTGCCTGGAGGGCGGAGCCCCATCTCGGTATGTCGGCTGGGCTGGGTGTGACTCAGCTCAGGTGAAGGCCTGCTGGCCCAGGAGGATGCGGGGGGTTGGGGGGTGGTCCCCAGAGAGGCACCTGTTCTCTGTGGGGGAGGCGCCGCCGACTCTCTCCCCATGGGCCTGTCCACTCTGTGGCCTTAGAGCGTCCAACGCTGGTCAGGTCAGCCAGGCCCTGCCTTTGGCC